TTCTCGCCCTTTAAGATAAAGTATGGCGGAAGAACGAAACCATCAGCAGCGACACACTCGATATCCGTAACCGATTCGCCTGACTCCGTACTAGGACTGCCTCGTTTTGTCCCCGGTCGGAAACTAACCACTTTTTGCCGCTTCCCTTCACCAAGGCGGAAGCCACTTTCGTCGAAATTATATATATTCCGTGCCTCGATTCCATGCTCTTGAATCTGCTCCTGAAGGAGTTGAAACCAATGCTGTATATGTCCAAGATCCTCAGCGCGTAGGCAGTCGTCTTTGACTGGTTTTTGGTCGATAAGCGGAAGGGTGTGGCGCTTGATAAATTTATATTTCCAGTTCTTACTAACGTGAGGTGGCTGCGTTGTATCGAGGGCGTTTCTTCGGAGTATAGAGTTGGCGCACGCTTCGATTTCTGTAGGCGTAGGAGGCGCTCCCCATTCATCAAGTTGATGGATCCAAGCTAGGAGAGCCTTTTCTTGTAGCTGATCGAGTTTATTCGCTTGTACGAACGGAGAACGTTTGGTATAGGAAGTTTTTCCTTCAAGGCGGCCTCGAAGGACAGGCCGGTTGATTTGGAACTCACGCGCTAACGCTGAAACGTTAACCGATTTTCCTGCTTTTTTTTTTTGGCTCTGTAGCCTTCTTGAGTGCTTTCTGTATAGTCTCCTCTGAATATTTGACGCGTTTAGACATGTTTGGTGGTATAGATTTGAAGATGATGGTAAAACTGGACTTTTGGCGTGGGTTTGACTTTTGGTGTGGGAGCACCAACAACCGGAGGTTGTGCCGTTGTGGGGCGGTCATGGGGCATGGATAATGTAGAAAGTGCAGAGTGGACAGTGCTTTGAGTGGGGATCCTGCATAATAGGTGCGGTACAGTCGAGGCTGAAGCACGTTGTCGGTGGCCTCCTGAGGGCTCGACGAGTCTCTTCGGGAAAAAGACGGAATTCAACCAGACTTTAGACAAAGAAATGATATCATATCAAGATCGATTCGTGGTCTCGTGAGTTCTATGGCAATGCTGTCAGCGCCTGACAAATATGCATCAAAAGGTTGACCAAATCCAACCGTCACCAATTCATCTGCTCCCAATTGAAGCACAGTATGGCGAGTAGTTAGAGGGCACATCAAGCGCCAAAGCTGCCCCTAGACCTTGTCTGACATGACTTGAATGCGGAAAAGAAAAGTTTATATCCATGTCTGGAAAGTATCAACGCCAGGTATGCCGACCAGCCAGTTCTCCCAATACCGCAGGCCATCCAACGCCTGTTCTCGACAGACCGCGCCACGTTCCTCGGCCATGTCCAATTCCTCCGCGGCGACTCCGACACTCCAGCCAAACCTCTCCGCGGCTTCTTGCACCGTGACCCCTCGGCCATACATGCGCCAATCCCACGGCACTTCTTCTTCGGGCGGTTCATCATGCAGATCCCGTAGCCATAAGAGCAGCGCGGCGATGGTCTTATTGTCCGTGCGATCTCGTCCTTGCACGACGAGAAGCCCGCTGCGGAACCGACGCAGGCGCACGGGAAGCTTCAGGTGATCCCAGAGCTGGGCGGCCTTTTCGAAATCGGAGGGGCTGATGAGCTCGACGCCGCCTCGGGCGCGGTTGAAGACCGCCCAGAGGTCGACGAGGCTCATGATGCCACCCTCTTTCCGGAGAACCCCTTTGGTGTCGTCGGTGAGGAACTCGGCGAGGTTGCGAGAAAGTTCGGAGAGGTAGAGGGATTCGGATCCGCTGCCGAGCATGTCTTTGGTGGTGACTAGGCCCAGAGCACTGGTGGATTGGGTGAGGATGGCGTTGGCCTCGCTGTTACCGCTGATGTTTGCTTGGGATGCGAAGGATTCGGCGAGGGCGATGATTTCTTTCGCGGAGGTCATCAACGCTTCAAGATCCTCAAAGGCATTCCCAATGACAATCTCATTATTCCGTCGCAGCTCTTGGCCTCTCAATTCAAGCCCAGCGATACCGACTAGTTTCGCCCGGTCGGGAGTACTTGTCCCAGATGAACCGGGTTGGGGGGCGTTCCGAGAGTCGGAGATAGGAGTAACGGAACTTGCACTCGGAACCATAGGGTCACTCTGAAGTAACCATTTCCGTTGAATCAGAGAACCTTTTAGTCTTTCGTGGAAGATCTTCTCGCCTCCAGCGCGGAATGATAATTTGATGCTCTCGACTGGGCTGTTGTCATCACCAAGTTCGCGCGAAGGACCCGGCGACTCGTTCCTTTGCCCATGTCCTACCCTTTCGATCCGCGGATCTGGAGCAGTAGTGAGTGCGGCTCCACACATCTCACAGGAAACAAGGGATGGGTGATTGATGAATGTGCATCTTCGACATTGACGACCGGATGAGGTAGATACCGATGACCCCACACCAGTACTGACAGCACCTGATGGAACATCATTACCGTTTGTTCTATTGTCCACAGAACTAGTAGTCCTATTGCTCATCGTAGCCAAAGCTGCCTTCACAACATGCACCAACGGTGGTTTGATGCCACAGGTAAGACACGGTGGAAGCACCGTCCTTGCACTTGCTGTCTGAACATCGAAATTCGACGGTACTGGATTCGAGAAAGAACATATTGGACAGACCCACGTGGCATTAGCCAAGTTCTGGGTAGGTGATGAAAGTCCGAGAGGACTTGACTGTCGGTCCGGTCCCGGAGTTGGGCTAGGCTGCAGCGATGACCTCGGCGAGGCCGCATATGAAGACCGTTTTGATTCTTTTGGATAGAGGGTGACTTTAGCCGATGATTTGAGAAAGCCTGCCTGTAATACAGTTAGACTCCGTATGCGACGTTCGCAGATAATGTCCATACATAGAGTTCGGCCCGATCCACCTCCTTCAGCTCCACGGCAACGGAGTTCTTCCTCGGCTCTTCGTTGTCCACATAACAGACTCTGTGCGAAGTAAGGTATGCATGGCCGTTCTGGTACTCGGGGATCTTGTATTTCCTGCATGTGCATCGTCAGATATGTCTTAGTTCATCTCCGCGGAAACCGTACCCCTCATAGAGTCCCACAGCATCTTGGACAAACAGAAGCGTTTCGTCAGGATGCAGAGAGGGCCTAAGAGCAGTAGTGAGGTCCAGATGTCGAAGAAACATTCAGTCCATAGATCTCTAGGGCGAAAGGCTGCGATGCTCCCAAGTTCTAGTGGTTGTTTGTGATATCAGGGCTCGGCGAAGACAAGAGAGTGGCGGATAGCACGTGACAAGTCAGCGGTTTCAATGAGACCACAGGAAATGAGTCAAAGAATTGAATACACATAGATTCATGGCACATGCTTCTAATCGAGGAGCCAAGACTAACTTAATTTCAAGTTTAAACTAACGCTGGTATCTAGATTCATATCAAAAGACCAAGTTGAGCAGCGGGCATAGCTCGTCTGGCCTTAATTTGGTGCCTTGTAGCCCGAGGCATGAATATAGCCGGAGTTTAGCCGCTGACCGCTGAGAACCAGACGAGACATCCGATCGTCGTTCGTCCAACCACTTCGCATTTCATCACACAGTCCCATCTTCAATTTGGGAGTTGCCTCCTCTGAGTTCATCATTGCCTCACTCCTAGATCGTGATCTCTAATATATAGGAAGCGCTCTTCCACACACTCGTATGTATCGTTCGAAACACTGATCTGTCCGCCGTGATATCGTCTCGTAATTCACACCGACCCCGACTACGATCCCTTTCCGTCGATTTACCGAGTCGTATTACCGATCTGTGCCGTCGTATCATCAGTAACAATGAGCTGTGAGTTTGACGCGTAATTTAAGTGTGTTTATAGTGCTAACATTCACTTCAGCAACGACAGCTCCCGCATTCACTGCGGTGGCTGCTCGGAGAACACTTACCGGCTCTGAGCCATCCGTACGTGTGAACCTCTTTCCTTTCATCATCATATCTAATCGATATGCGCGACACTAACACATTTCCCCGGCAACAGGTACCAAAACCCAGTCCAACCATCTGGTCGAAGGAAGTTCGCGAATGGGTCTCTCGAGGTTTTGCCGCAGCGACTGACGACGACGGAATCACGCACGACGAACTCACAGCCAAAATCAAACAGATCATCACAGAATACATGAGCAACGAATCTATGTACTCTGTTGACTGGAGTATACTACCGATACCTCAATATTTCATCCAACAAGAACGTCAACAAGCCATTTTGGGTCCAGCCTACCAACCAAACGCGATGTACTACCCAACGCCACCGCCCCCGCTATCCACTTTCCGGGAACAGGCAACAGTACCGGCCTCTAAGAAACGAAAGTCTTCGGAACTAGGAGTCGATCAGGAGCCGCCGTGGCGCAAATCGAACAGCCTTCTGGAAGATCGAGTCACCTATGCCAACCCTACCTTTGAGGACCGCGCCGAGAAGCGAAGCAAGAAACGACGTGACGAGACTAATAAAGCCACCAGTAAGTATCAGAACGACCTGGAACTCCGGAAACAACGGTTCGGTCTGCACTCGCCATCACCATCACAACCGCCCTGGAGGTCCCGAAGCGAGACTCCGGCACCGGATGCATCCTCTGGCCCCGTGATTGGAACCAACGAAGACCTGGAGAAAAAGTACTTCCGCTTAACATCAGCCCCGAAACCTGAGGCGGTTCGACCACAACGAGTTCTTGAGAACAGCTTGAAGTTCTTGAAAAAAAAATGGCGGGAGGGGGCAAGTTACCCGTACATCTGTGATCAGTTCAAATCGATGCGACAGGATCTCACCGTCCAGCACCTCAAGAATGAGTTCACCGTGAGTGTGTACGAGCTGCACGCTCGAATCGCATTGGAAAAGGGGGATTTGGGTGAGTATAACCAGTGCCAGACGCAATTGCGGGCGCTGTATGCGCAGGGATTGCAAGGGCATCCGACAGAGTTTCTCGCGTATCGCATTCTCTATTTCATTCACACTGCCAACAAGACCGATCTGAACGACGTATTGGCAGAATTAACTCCAGCAGAAAAGGACGACGTGTCGGTGAAGCACGCGCTTGATGTTCGTTCAGCGATTGCACTGGGCAATTATCATAAGCTGTTCAGACTGTTCATTGATCCACCAAATATGAGTGGATATATCATGGACAGGTTCATCGATCGTGAGCGTGTGTCTGCTCTTGCTAAGATGGGTCGAGGGTAAGGTTTATTCTCCATTATCCCAACGAAATACTAACATGCATCAGTTACAAACGAGCTCTATCACTGAGGTTCCTCGCCGAGGAACTCGCCTTTGAAAGCGTTCAGCAATGCCATGACTGGTTTATTGCCGTTGGCGCTCAAGATCTCCTTGAATCAAAAGAGGACGGCAGCGTGTGGCTCGCAGCTGACACACCCACGTACAAACTGTTCGAATCGGCTCGCCAGACAACCTTCAGCAAAGTAGACATCAAAGGCCAGATATAAATGGACCACGAACGAGTGACAAGCCGTTTGACATCAGTCCCGCTTGTCACGCACGAACCCCTTCCCCACGACTCCTAACCACACGTTTCATGATTTCTTTCCCTTTCTCTTCTCTTATTTTTCTCGCATTCATTCCCCTGGCACACACCCTTGATTATGCAGTGCAACGGTCACACCATCCCAAAGTCGCTCGACTGACCTCGAAAATTGGGCATGGACAGTTGGCTAATGCGATTCAACGCCCTGCCTCCGGTTGCAGCGTCCCCGACCGATTCTCTAACACTACAAGTCTCACAACACCCGCACAGTTACGGTTTCATTCGACACACGCACTCCTTTCTATACACAGTAAACACTCGATGCGTCCGAACGGCTCGTGCGAAATACATTTTCATCTCGGTGTGCCTGGGATCACAAGGCAATACCAACGAGGGCTATGTGGACTTGTTGAGTCCCAACATGGCCCTAATACGTATACGTCATCCTCAGGACAGTCCTTATAGCAAGTTCTGGACCCGAACCAGCATGAACCTGACGCCCGCTCGGGAGTAGGTTTCGGAAAACAATGATGATGGGCCATAGTGATGAATTTCACTTCGCTTGGGCTTCATTTTTGTAGGCGGAGGAGTGGGCAGGCAATGTTCGGTTTTTCTTCTCACGTACCACGGATCACATGGTCATACATGGGAGGGGTGTGTCCCAAAGGGCTGAGGCCGTCAAGGGGTCCTTGGGCGTTGATGGCACGGAAATTTTGCTTTCCACTGGACACGGGTTCTTTGTTTTTCGCCTTCATGTGCGTCGGCCGTAGAATGTGCCAAATGCTTCGGCATTGGCATGCTCCGGTCACGTGCAACTCGCATTACCATTACGCAGCATTTTCAATAGTGGAAAATTCATGCACCGTTACTGTTCCGTCCAGTCACCCGTCGCACCAAGGTGACGTCGACGATATCTTCCGCATACGCGACACATCCCTTCGGGATCACGGCCTCATCCCATGGGTCCCAACTTCGCCCGTCGACCCCGCGTGGAAAAATCTCCGCCAGTCGCTCGCTCCGTCACAGTTCGCGCGGACTGGCGGAGCCCGTTTGCTCACCAATGATCGGGCGCCATGACGTCTCCGCGGCGTGATTCGCTGCCGACGCGCTCTGGAGCTGGTAGTCGCACCACGGCACACTCAGCGGCGACGAGTCGAGGAAGCGTCATCGCAAGGGATTTTGGAGACGGATGTGAGATGTCGTCGGCGTGCAGCGATGGAGGAGGGCGTCGTGGAGTTCCGCTGTCGCTTGGGGGGGCCGGCAGGAGGGGTTACTAATAGTACTGTGTGGGCGCCATGGTGGTGGTGCTGCTAGGGCATCGAGAGGGGCAAAGACGGCGTTTGGCTGGGCTGCGACGAGGTACAGACTGGATGAACATTGGACGAGGATGGTTCAGGCAGCAAGACTGGTGATCGGTTGGCAAGGTATTACTGTGTCATATGTAGCTGAGCGAGAGGGTTGAGTGCAGTCGTGATTCGTGTGAGGGAGACGACTCGTGCATATGTCGACATTGCTATTGTGTCCCAGCGAATACGAGTAGCGTCGAGGACAATAACAGTGACCATGCACTCGAGATTAATGTATGCGGAGCGTCTCTCGACATGTTCCTGATATTTTCTGTTCGTCTATTATCAATGGGTCGAGTGACGAGTGACAAGGAACAGAGCACATCAAGGTTGGACATCCTATTGTTGTAGGATTTGCTTATTGTACTTCTCTTTGATTAAATCTCACCAAAGCTGCGTTGCGCTATTATTTCATCCTTGATACGTCCGTAATTCCCCCCTTTCCCTGCGCTCCCTTCTGAAATTCCTTTGTGGAAGAAACTGGGATTCCCTTGTTCTCTTGTGACAGTCGGATGAAGCCGTCAATCGGTGCTGCACAGCCGCCTGTCCAGCCCTGCCAACAAATCGGTCGACTGAGCCACTGATGCTAAAGTCGCTATTAGTGGGTAGTGGACAAACGTGCTGGGGAGGTTAACATCAGATCCGAATCCCATAATAAGACGGTTTGTGCTCTGGTCTGGAGCTGCGTAGCTGCCTGGTTCACGGGTTGGGCGACAAGCATTGGAATATTTCCACCATTCCTCCATCTCACCACCCAATACTCACCATCTAAATCGCGAATCCCTTTCAGATTCTTCAGCGCAATCGCATCCGCCCTGCCACTACCTCGACTCGACCGCCACCTAGTCATCTGCCAACCCTACACGCGCCCGCACGCAGATCGACGCTGCGAGTAGTCTCCTGGACGAAGGAGCCGGTTTCTCATCGCGAAGATAGAAGCGACCCTTCTTTCTACCAGATACCCCATTCCCGGAACAATGGTCAAGGTAAGTTTCGCCATGGTTGGACGTCCTTGTCGGGCCCAGGACTGCAATCGGCGGCAGACAAGGCGGGGGTTCCACGCTAACAGGGCGTGTCTGCCTTTCGCAGTTTCGACGATCGCTGAAGAGCGATAAACACGACTCCAAACCGCATCATAATTCCATTCCGGCGAAAGACGCCATCGCCATCCTACCTCCGAAGAAGGTGAGCTCGAATTCACATGGTTGAACCCCGTTGCGAGGGGGGGAGCTCGGAGCAAGCAAACGCAAAATCGGCGCAACGCTCCACTTGACCCCGTCTCATCTCAATTGCTGACTCCGGTATGCTGACATCTCATCCCGACAGGTCATCAAAGCGCTCTACGACTACGTACCTCCGAACGACACCACGTACCTGAAATTCTCCCAAGGCGATTTCCTACACGTCGTCGGCCGCGAAAACGACGAGGACTGGTACGAAGCCTGCAATCCGCTCGTGGGCGCCCGCGGCCTCGTGCCCGTCAAGTACTTCGAATCCATAGACAAGCGCGTCCGCAACTCGGGCGACTCCACCGGCTCCGACCCGAACTCCAGCTCCCACGACTCCGGGTATGCCGAGAACGCCCCAAACGCTTCCTCGAACGTCGCTGCTGGTGAGAACTCGCGCGCCGCCGTCCGGATGTCGAAACTGAGGGGTGCGGGCAACATGGTGTATGGCATCGTCATGTACGATTTCAAGGCAGAGAGGCCCGATGAATTGGAGGCGCGGGAGGGCGAGGCCATCATCGTGATTGCGCAGTCGAATCCCGAGTGGTTCGTCGCGAAGCCGATTACCAGACTGGGTGGACCGGGGTTGATCCCCGTGTCGTTTGTCGAGATTCGCGATATGACGACCGGTCAACCGGTCCCGGATGCTGGAGCCGCCGTGCAAAGAGCAGGTGTGCCGAAGGTCGAGGAGTGGAAGAAGATGGCAGCGGACTACAAGAACGGTAGCATTCCGTTGGGCCGATTGGGAGAAGAATTGACTCCGAGCAGCTCGACGAGCATGCAACAAGGGATGCAGAACATGAGCGTATCGTCGAAGAATCCGAAATACTCATCGAACGGCTACTCCACAGGGGGCAATGGGGTAAGTGATTGGACGATGTTGGGAGCAAACAGTATGCTGACTCGACTCCAGGCACAACCACGATTCAGCGACGCCAGCAGAACCGCGCCACAACTGCTGGCAGCCATAAACGCGTCCGTCCCTCGCTACTGCTTCGCCGACGACATCTTCTGGTTCATCGTCGAATGCAAAATGGAAGACGGCCGTTACTGGGAGCTCTCCCGACTGTACCAAGACTTCTACGACCTGCAAATCAACCTCATCCAAGAATACCCCTACGAGGCCGGCAATGTCGAGGGCGTCGAGCGCTCCCTCCCCTACATGCCCGGTCCCGTCACCTACGTCACTGACAACATCTCCAACGGTCGCCGCCAGAACCTCGACGAATACATCCGAAACCTCCTCAAGCTCGGCTCTCACATCACACAGGGCTACCTCGTCCGCCGCTTCTTCGCCCCACGGCCCGGTGACTACGAAATCGACCCAGAAGTCGCTGACAACTATCGCCTATCCGGTGAGGCCGATCCTTCGCATGGCTATAGCGCCGGCGGCGGCAACCCATACGCGCAGTCATCCCAGCCGCCACCGCAACAACAGCAGCAGCAACAACAACAACAGCAACAACAACAACAGCAACAACAACAACAGCAACAACAACAACAGCAACAACAACAACAACAGCAACAACAGCAACAACAGCAACAACAGCAGCAGCAGCAGCAGCAGCAGCGGGGCGCACCCGGGGGTAATCCGCCGTCCCACTTCCGAGGCAACTCCGGACTCGAGCCGCCGTCATCAATGCCCCGCAACAACTCGTCACTGACGCAAGGGTCGAACAGCGGGGCCTCGGGGCCGACCGCGACAGGCGCAGCGGTCAAGATCAAGGTGTGGTTCAGCGCAGAGAATTGCGTGGTGATCCGGATGCCGCCCGGGTTCCGGTTCGCCGACCTGTACCGGAAGCTGAAGGAGCGGCGCAGTCTGGAGAAGCTCCCCGGCGATGAGGACGGGAAGGCAGACCTGCTGGTGGAGTATCGCGACGATGGGGAGGGGCGGATGCGGGTGATTAAGGGAGATGAGGGACTGCGGGAGGCGTTGGAGCGGAGTCCAAAGTTGACGTTGAGTGTCAGTATTAGATGAGGAAGCGGTGGGACGGGGTTGGCAGAAGCGTACCGAGCTGGTTTGGGGTGGGTGGATTCTTGTCCCTGGGCTGGAGAACGGACCCGGTGATCTTTTTCTTCTTCGCTTCTAATCCGGCCGGTGTGCCTTCCTTTCGTTTCCGACCGAAGGGGTTCCTGTCGTGGTTCTTGCGCGCCGAGTTGCCCTGCGCATCTGGATTTCTGCTCTCCTTTTCCGATTTACTTCTCGTCTGTCCCCGATGCCGCCGTTTCCGCCTCCTTCCCCGCGCATCCCCGCTGGATTGTTTTCTGGACTTTTCCTTCCCCGGAATTTCTCGGCGTTCTGTCATCCCTTCGGTGTTGGGCGGAACGTTGTCTCCAGATCTCCTCTCGGCTCGGCGCCATCTTTTTTGTTCGCTGTCTTTTCGTGCTTTTCGGACTGGTGTCGTTGCTCGAAAATGGGTTGTCATGGAAGAAGTTATGTGAGGTGGAATGACTGGTATGGGTCCATGATTTTGATGGGATATGGTCGCTAGCTGCTGTTACGACATCGGGGGTTCGACGGTTGGGGAGGGGGTGGATGTGGAGAGCATCTCACGAGGAAGTGTGAGGGTCAAGGTCATATATGATAGGTGCATTGATAGGTTAACATCTCCCGTGGATCTTGCATCTAGCGATCAAAGATGCTTGGAACCATCGAAATCATCAGGAATGGATACACTAGATTCAGAATATGTCCAGTCTATGCTGCGTGTTTGGCTCGACATCAGTGAACCAGCAGTCTCAGACGCGGCGAGGCCGCATTTCCCGGCCACCACGGTATCTTAAGGGCTTCGATTTAGGCCCTAAATAAGCTTATAGTATCTCAGAATCTCACAACCACAATTTTTTCTAAATCTCCATATTGTATGGGCGCGAATGGCTTCAAAGCCGAGTGCCCATCGCGAGCTCTTATGAGGCGGTGGACCGTGCAAGGAGTGGTGCCGTGCACGCTGGCGGGAAAACCCATATGCCTATAACTATTACAAAAGCTTGGCTGCTAGTTAACTAATTTGCGTAACTATCAAAAAGGTTGGTTATATATGAATCTCGTTGTCCTCTCCTACCGTTTGCAATCAACACTAGGAGACTGAACACATCGCACATGTTTTATGGGAACCGAAAGAGCTGGGAAGTTTATCGACATGAATGCATTGTCATAGATACATGAGCCTCTACTGTATAGAATTTCAGCTGGTTTTCCCTTCACCTTCATACTATTACTTTGATCGATGCGTCCGCGTGTCCCCAGAATTTGGAAACCGATAATTTTATCCTTTTATCCATGACACACATCGCGTTTTCAGATATTTCCTTGACATCCAAGACGCTTCTGACGCAGGTGGCCAATTCTCAGATATTTACTAGAAGCGATTCCAATCGACACCATGTGCCAGCTGTGTAGCCTCAGCGCCATTGCTGATAACCAGAAATGGGTACAGATCTACCCTTCCAGAGACTCCGAACTCTCGAATTAAAGCTAACTGTCCATAGCCAAAGCCGCTGGAGCCACTTGTCACCGAACTTCGTCCTCTCATTATGACGGCACATGACGAATACGGGAGATTTCGCAAGAATACTGGAGTTCCAAATCCTGAGGACGACGAAATGAATGCGAGTTCCGAAAATAGTCATGTAGACGAACCAAGACCTCAACTACACTCCACAGTTGAGGCCATCCTCCTCACATTGGAGTTCATGGATGATTCCCGAAAAGAATGGTGGCTAAGTCCTGAGAAGTATCGGTTACGAAAGTCCTGGAGTGAGGAAGGAGAGCAGAAGAAGCTTTCGACTCTGCATGCTATCAACAACAAGACGGAGGAGAATATATCGAGCATGAAAGTGAAGGTTGGTATGTTCTGTCGGTACAATTTGAACATGGATGCAGCGAAGCTTTTGGAGAAGGCATAAAAACCCGTCTGTGGACTGCTTTGTGAGAGGTTTGCCGGGATTTAGTGGGTTGTAGGACGTCGGGAAAAGCATGGTTGCCTTTGCTGCCTGTAACAATGGAATCTAATTAGCGAAAGAAATGACATCTGCGAACGGTGAAGCAGCATCTGTATGGAAGATATAAGATCCAACTTTTAATCGCTATATACATCGCAGACCAACGGAGCACCCTTGTCCTGACTGGAGTTAGAATACATATTAGCAGATGAATTAGTGCCCGCTGCCACACGTCTAGTCTATCACGATTGACTGATGAAGTTTCGACGTCAACCTCGGATCCTTTGCTTCCGTGTTCCTCTTTCAAGCCTTCCTGCTATCCTCTTGCCCCCGAAGTTTGAGCCCATATTCACTCCCAGCTAGCCAGCAGTGTTGTTTCATGCCTGCTCACGAAGTGCCATGAGAAGTTCTTTAAGGAAGCTGGATTTGACCAAGGGGTTTGTGAGCTGTTATTACCGTCGTCACCATTCTAACTTTAATAGAATCAAGTGTTCGGAATAGCAGGTGCGATAGCAGGTCCAAGTATAGCATGGTATAAGGGTGCTGGTAACTGTTGAAATAAGACCTTGATTGCTCGGCTACTGGAGGCTCCAAACAGGAGTTAGTAAACCGAATAAGGGGGTGACAACAGCTGGATTCGTGACCTCGACGAGGTTAGACTTTAAGCGCTTAAAAGAACAGGCACTCATTGTAAGAATGTTATCATAGTGTATCAATGAGAATAGGATGAAATCTATCGCTATGAGTAACCGCTGCAGTCAGTCAGCATGCTCGTCGTTGTTTCATGATCGGTGTTGTTGGACACATTGAGCATTTTGATTCAGCCCGTGGGTTGGTAGTTCAGTGCGCGCCAGCATCTAGGCGGACAGTCTGAAGGAGCTTGCAAATAAATTGAGTTGAGATGGCTGCGCTGTCCTGCTTGTTGACGTCCTGCAATAACCCTAGTTGACTCAGTCCCGCTCTTAATCTTCAAAAAGGGATTCGTCGTTGGTGCGGGTGGCATCTCCCTTATCATACCATAATCCAATCGCTTATGTCATCCAATGACATTGATCTCAGGCGAGCTGCTGAAGAAGACGTGGATGAGCTCTTGGAAGTGTGGACAGATGCGGTACGTCTCAATAGAATGGATGGTCTCTTGTCACAACGAATGATTGGACACGATAGGCCGAGAAAGGCCTACCTTGAGGTTCGAATTATGTTATGATTGCTACGAAAAGTGCTTGCTTATCCTTAGGGGATGTTACCTTCGTTTAGAAACCATGTCCGCCATCCGATAACTTTCCTTCCTATGTTCTCCGGCAGTGTCATCTAGGCCATGGTCAAATGAACTGCCCAGTCCGCCCGTCTAGTCAGGCGAGTGCGTCCGGGCAAGTCCGTCCATGCGAGACCCTCCGACATCCGGGAAGGAGGTCGCCACATTATATATAGACACAATCATGATACCACCTTTGACAACACACGGCTGGAACATGCCAAACCCTATCGTAGTCACGAATAAGAGGGTCACTCTGCCAATCGGAGCGCTTTCTGGTACTCCACCTCCGCTTATCGGCTGCAGGGACAGTCATCGCGTATCCTACCACTAGAAATTCGTTAGCACACCGCACCTATCCAATCTCATCGCCGATGGCAGCGTACGAACCTCCACTCGTACATTCTCACATCTCAGCTAGAGCACGAATGCGAGGGAAGCAGTGACATTTCCTCGAGGTCCGTGAGAAGTGCTATGATGGCTTGTAGGTCAAGGTGGATGTCCTTCCCCAGACACCTCCCATAGAGTCTGTAAGAGTCTCCCTGTCGGGAATCTCCAATCGTGAGGCAAACATTGAATTGTTGCTATGAAGGAGGAATCTATCTAAGGTGTGCGAGGCGTTTATCTGTTCTGGTGTTTACAGAGCAAACCGAACGGGCCACAAGGCCACAAGGCATCCAGGTCGATAGACCTCTGATCCATCACAGAGTCCGATATATAAAACCCTGACATTCAAGGTACCTTCTCTAGTGTATATATATGATTCGAGAGTCTGCGACCAATACACATTCGCGACTTCGAGCCTTTCAATCCAGTTCTTCGATGCTATATATCAGTGCGTTTGCACGTTCCCCAACCGTTGTCAGAAAGGGGCATCAAAGGATCATATACTTTCCGGTAGCGTAGCAAAGTTCAAAACTTGATGTCGCTTTCGTATATCGGACGATATGAATCGCTCCATCTTTGTGTGGTTGAGATGGGTCGGAATAATGTGGTATGAGTGTACGGACGCCAAAAGAGGAAGGGCTCCCTCTCTGATTCGGATATATATAACGAAAAGGTTGACATGGAGATATATATGAAAGTTGAAGGTGATCGACTCTGAATTGATGAAACGGAAGATATATATAACCAATTCCACGACCACGAACACTAGTCTAGACGAACAGACCGCTGGGAAGACTGCTTAAGCGGTTCGTTGATAGAAAGTCAAAGCATTCCGTAGGTAACATAGAGTCCACTAGTGTAGACTAGCAAACGGATGAAACGCAGAGTAGTGAGAAGTAGGTACACAGCTGCAGACGTGTTGGGCCGCGAAGTAGGTTGCACATACACTGCACAAGGCTGAAATTGGCCAACGACAAGAGTGTGGGAATCAGACGGTGAGGGAAATTCATCCTTTGCTTCATCCGTGGTTGCTCCACGTATTCAAAGAATGAAACTGATGACACGATTTCGCAAGCAACTGACAGCCATGAGGAACTTGTCAGTGTAGGTGAACTCCTCATAGAATTCGGACCCAAAGACAACTAGGCCTGAGTCGAAGGAGAGGAAGGTCGTACTGGATCGGAAAGGAGCATACTGGGTACGCACGTGTACTTCCGTCTCAACCAAACCTAACGTTCCAGCCCCTCGTGCAGGCTTCCAGGGTAGCATCTCTTACATCTCATCCATGGATTCTTACATTAGTAAGACGAAGACTTCTTTCCTGTAGAAAGGCAGCGCGTGTGATCTGCCGAAATGAAGGCCCTAACTGCCATTTGGTTATCAAGAGGAAGAGGAGTCCGGAGTCTTGGGTGAGAAGAGATGAGGCGTCGTCAAGGCTTCCCCGTTGGTGGAGCCGCCACTAGCGGGAGAGCTTAATCTAACCTCGACTTTCTATCCCCAGATGCCGACAGATGACATTAGATTAACATCCGAGCGATCATATCATTTTGGCGTATCATCATAGGTTTTCGAAAATATGCCCTACAACGTAGATTGAACCTCGTGATTAGGTCTCTAACCACATATGATGACTGGTGAAGAGCCCAAATGGACGCTGGCATCTGGCCGATGAATCTCATCTACTTGGAGGCCGTGATATCAATATAGCTCGGAATGTAGGAGCCGTCGTCGGCAATGAGCCGCCAATATATGGCGACGGGCATAAGAGAATGCATTTCATTAAGTCAAATTCGCGAATCGGCAAAATCGTCATGTCAGAAGCCCTCCTTGAGATGTATAAGTCCGAGCGGAGTCGGCTAGACATTAGAGTCCAGTTGAGATCTCCACCTCTTTTCGTCTTCTTGTCAGTCATTGCCCGTTCACCATGAAGTCCTTCCTTCCCCTCCTCTCGCTGGCCATCAGCGCCTCCGCCACCGCCATCCCCGCCCTGGAACCCCGCCAAACCGCCGCCGAAGTGCAGTCCCTCCCGGCCAAATACTTCCCCGACTCCCAGCGCGTCAAGATCCGCTATGGCCCCTTCCAGCTCCCCAGCTCCGAGCAACGCTCCGTAATCGGCGAATCCGGCACCATGTCTACCATCCGCACCAACCTCCGCAAACCGTGCACCGACTGCGGCCTCACCGCCGCGCAGGCGGGGCTGGAGTACGCGGACGGCTCGCCCGCCGACGTCGGCACGGGGGCGTGGCTACACCACGTCGTCATGCTGATGTCTGGCACGGGGAAGCGCGATGTCGTGTGCCCGTCCGGTGTGCTCAGCATGCTGGGGGAGCGGTTCTTCAGCAGCGGCAACGAGCGGTCGCCCACAATGTTCGGTGACGTGGAGACGCAGACCCTGAAGGCGATGTATCCCATCGCGGCGGCAGATCGGATCAACATGCAGGTGGAACTGATGAACATGAAGCCGCAGGAGCAGACGGTGTATTTCACGGTGGAGTGGGAGTTTCTGCCCAAGGCGGCGACGGCCGGGTTCAAGCAGACGAAGGCGCTGTGGATGGATGTGACGAATTGCGGAGTGAGCTCGGTGGCGCCGCCGGCGAATAAGCAGGTCTTTACGTTGAAGAGCGACGCGTTTACGATCCCGGCGAATGGGCAGATGTTGGGCACAGGTAAGGAGCCCTGGGATGTGGGGGCGATTGAAACTCAAAGCTAACCATGCTCCCAGCCGGCCATCTCCACGACGGCGGCGTCAATGTCAACGTCTACCTGAACGACAAGGTGATCTGCGACTCGCAAGCGACCTACAGCACTACTACAATGGGTGGCATGGCCATGTCAGACGGCCACGATGGAGACGCGCACATCGCGACGATGAGCGGATGCACGAACATAGGGCCGGTCAAGCAGGGCGACAAGCTCCGCATTGAGGCCAACTATGACCTGGACAAGCATGCGCCCATGCATAACCATGGGGATAGCGGGGGCCTGGCGGCGGTAATGGGGATCGCCATTATGTATATAGCCTTAGATTGAAAACGCCAATGCTAGGTGCTGGTCATCGCGTTGGGCGACCGGGATGCTGTGCCTTTGATGCGTTCTCTAGATGTTGCGTGCAAATGGGTAGTGACAGTAAGGTACACCATAGATTCCACAACAGACAAACCTCATCGAACATCTACATTTTGCACCATTGTGCGCCTCACCATCGCAAAGATCAACCGATCCGTCCCCCTAACGCAGGTTTGCCAAATGAGGAGAGGATGGTGACCTCCACCAGCGCCCATGATCTTGAACCGCGACACCTATATTTGGAAGAGACTGAGGAGAGAAACGATGCGTGCCCACGCTTCGCGGATGCATTACGGAGATTTCTCCAGTTGTTCGCCTCGAAAGTGCCCATATGATCTTTCCCTTGGGGGCGCGAGGACGATTGTCCGTGCTTCGGACTTGACAAGCACCGAAGCACGGAAAACATAGCAAGTCAGGCAAACGCCTTCTGATCATCGACCAAGGCGGGTAAAAGAACGGAGAAAGCCGAGTTAGAAGAAGAAATACTTGAGTTCCAATCAACTCCTTTAACCCAGGCTCTGTTTTGTGCGTTGTCGCTTTTACTAGCACAATTGTTCGGTTCAAAGATCCGTGTTCAGAACCTTATGGTACACCACATCGAGCCTTGGGGGGAAGGAGTTGATTGAAACTAGCGTACAAGAATTGAATAATCGAACACAATACCCTATTCCCGAGCCTCTCGAATTGCACCTAGCCCAGTCTACATGAGCAACCAGGCGCGAGATATCACTCCATTTTAACGACCAAGTCTAGCTTCGCATGTAGTGCACGCCGTTTCGAATCCGCACGCGGAGCGAAATGCCCTCGAATCCCATCCATCTATCCATCCAGCCATCCATGCATCCATATCTCGTCCACCGCGGAGCCGCATGCCTTGCACATCCAGCAGTACTCTCCACGGCCGATCAAACATTACCCCTTCGAGAAAGACCTCGCCTTGCCCACGATACTTGCTGGCTAGCGATCTAGCCAGCCGCTTGCCCGTCGAGTTGAGTGCTTTTCCGCCTTTCACCGCGCAAACACCTTCACCACGCCATCTCCGCCCGCGCTAACCACCAACCGCCCGTCCTGGCTCCATACGACGCTGCAGACCCCCTCGCCGCGCATGATGCGGTGGCTGGTGATCTCCTGGGTGCAGATGCGCTTCTCGAGGCTCCAGAAGCGGATGCTGGCGTCGTGGCCGGCGGAGACGGCTTCGCGGCCGTCTTTGGAGAGAGAGAGGGAGGAGATGGCGGAGGGGTGGGCGAGCATGGAGTAGGTGCATTGGCCTGGGGAGGTGTTAGTATGGGTTTCGTGCGGAAAAATAGGTTGGGAAGGATAGATGGGAAACATACCGCTATTCGCATCGAAGAACCGAATAAACCGATCCTCATGTCCACTAATAATCACCCCCTCCACGCCCCCCTGACTCGAGCTCCCCGTCGCCCCATGCAGCCCTTCATCCTCCCCCATCCCCAAACTCCCCCGCCCCCCTTCCCCGCCCAACCCCTCCTGCGACGTCGCGATCGCCACTACCGCATTCACCCCCGTCGCCACCGTCCCGTCGTACGTCTCTGCGCTCGCCATTCCGATCACCTCCTCGCCCGTCCGCGTGTCGTAGATCAGGATACTCGCGTCCGCGTACGCCACCACGAACGTCTCCCCCGTGGGAGACAGCGGCGCGATGCACGTCGGGCTCGCTGCCCCCGCCCGCGATATCGAGTGCACCAAAGTATAGTGGAACGGCGTGTTCGTCGCGATGCTCGGCTGCGGCGACGACGGGTAATTCGACCCGGACGTCACTGAGTGACGCCGCGTGCCTGGGGCTCCTCGTCGCGACCCCGCTTGCGGAGATGCGAGCTGCGGCGGCGCGCTGACGGCCCAGATCTTCACCGTACCGTCGGCGGAGCCGGAGGCGAGAAGCACGCGGTCGGGGCCGCCGAGATTGGCGCTGTCGGGGCCGAAGATGGCACCGCAGGTGGCAGGGAGGACGCAGACGGTCCAGACGGCGTCGGTGTGGCCCTCGAGGGTGGCTTTGGGGTCGACCCGGCCGCGCTCCCAGACGCGGACGGATGCGTCCTGGCCGCCAGAGAAGATCCAGCCGTCGCCGGAGGCGCGGCCGCCGGTGGAGAAGGAGGCGGAGACGGGGCAGGCGGCGAGTGAGGTGACGGCCCCGTCGTGACCGCGGTGGGTGAAGTAGGATTGGATGTCGAGGTCGTTGACTTCTTGCTTGTGATTCAGTGAACTGGGGTAGCTGGCTGGGATGATCCATCGCTTGATCATGCCGTCGTCGCCGGCGGTGCAGATCTCCGGTTCGGACGGGCTGCCGCCGCCGGTGAATATGACGGAGCGGACCACATCGAGGTGACCGCGGAGGGCAAAGCGGACTTTGAAGTTGGCAGGGTCTTGTCTGGCGGATTGAGTGGAGGGGTTGGTTTCGATGCCTTCGCTACGTCGGCGGACCATGGCGGTGGAGCCGGAGCTCTTTCTTCGATGGGAGACGGTGGAGCGGGGAGGAGATCGCATGGGGATGTTGTTGGCGCTTGGGAAGAGATCTTGGTCCGGTCTTCGGCGGGGAAGTGTTTCGCTGGTTTGATCGGCGAGGGGGTTGTCCTCGAAATTCCATCCGTCGGGTTCGTCGTTCATCAGTCGAGAACCACCAAAAGATAGGTTGGATTCTTCTTGTGCAGATATCGGTCGTCCCATGTTATCGTACGTGTGCGTGATCCGCTCCACGTTTTCATCGGCGTGTTCGGGGTAGGGTCCGCGGTTATCCAGATGATGGGCTGTCGATGGTGGTTGTTGCGGGAGAGGCATTTGACTCGGAACTCCGCGTGTCATGAACGCAGATTGTTGTTGCGGATGCCCTGACCTCGGGCCAGTTGAATGTTCATTGTTCGAAGGAAGAGGAGGTGGCTGATGATTTGGGGCAGCAGAGGGGTGTCCAAGCATCGAACCTTGCTGCTGCTGCTGCTGCTGCTTGGCTCGTTGCTGCATGTACACTTCTTCTAATGATAAGGGCAGGTCGCCTGGTTGACTCATAAATCCGGTCGAATTTGCCAAGGCCTGAATCTGCTGCGATTGCGGAGGTTGAGCCGGAGGGGTGAGGAGGTAGGTGACTTCTTCCACGGTTTTCTGTAGGTATACATGGGATTTGTCTTTCGAGTCTTTGTCTTGATCGGAGGATTCTCTGTCGCCCTCTAGTTCGAGGAATGAACCTGGGGGCTTTTCGGGAGCTACAATTACGTTCAACATTTTCCCTGGAGTAGTACCGTGATGGAAGCGCAGAAACTTACCCTTTACTTCGCTCTTCGCTACCGATTTACCCTTCACATCAACCTTCACTTCCCCCTTGCTATCCGCTAGTTTCTCCCCGGACGCTGCGGCTTTCGATTTCGCTCGCTCGGCTTTCAGGGCTCGTTCCAACATGCGAATCTGCTTGTCCAACTGCTCATTGAGCTTCTTCGCATTGCGTACATCGCCTTCCTGCTTCGCGATCTTGGCCTTCATCTCCGCTCGCTCGATGTCCCACGCGTTGCGCGCTCGCTCGTGGTTATGCCATTCGATCTGAAGGAAACGCATGACGCCTAAAAAATCAATCGTTAGCTCCTGTCACTCCAAGCTTCCGTTACGGTGATTGAACAGAGATTGCTCGATTCCAATCCCGAAGCTCTCTACAGCTATCCACATCCTACCCCGGAACCAACGAGATTTTCCTCACCTTGCAATGTATACTCCGTCCCCACCTGTCCGCCCTCCTGCGGCCCCCCAGGGCCTCCACCGACGCCCGCACCTCCATTATTCATCGCGCCGAGGTTCGGCGACCTCCACACCATTCAATCTCCCAACACTTCGGGAACCGCCGTAGTAATGGTCGCGCAGCTCCAGTGTCCGCTGGCCAAGCAGTCGCGTGGATATGGATATGCTTCGTGGAAACAATAATGGTGTTACCGCCAGCTGACGAGATAATCGTGGGTACCGTGTACGGAGCTATGATAGGGATGTCGAGAAGTCGAGGCGGGATGCGGAGGGATCGAGTGGTCGGGAGAGATGGGACCGAGCGGAGGGAGAACGAAAGAAAGAGGCTGGAGCGGCGTTTTGCACCGGAGCCAATGTCCCGTGTGTTGTTGTCGCGGTCTGCGTCGCGCAGCGTCACTCGTCATCCACCATCTACTCCGAAAGGGGATTTCCTCGAGCTGTCCACACGCGCCGAAACTTCCTAGCAATATGTCGGCAAAAGGGGGGGTATTAAAACGCTAGCAGCGAGTAAAGCGAAGTGGAATCCGAGCAGACCAAACGATTGAAGAGAGTGGTGAGCGGAGAGTGGGAAAACTGGATTGAATCCAAGGGAATCCAGGATGGGATGCAGGTGGACGTGGCGGTGATAGAGGAGGGTGAGGGATGAGGTTGGAACTGGAGCTGTACAGAATGACTTGGATGGCGCGCCAATGGAAGGGCAGGGATGTTGGTGCACGTGCAGGTTTGCGCTAAGCCTGACTGGGAAATATATAGCCGAAGTTTATCCATTCCATCCTTAAATCCACCACGCTCGGATTTTTATCAGATTTCAGTCAGGTGCCATTACTCGACACTGCATTCACTTAGAAGTAGACGAAAGTGATAATAGCGGAGAATTCGCCAATCCCCTTTCTAAAGATATAGAATTATCACTTTCACATTTGGCTGAGTAGGTCGATGTGACCGTCCCACTTGGGCTTGAGAAGGATATCAAAAGTGACGCCCCGGCGATTCCCCTCCTCGAGGGCATATCATAAATACTGGTAGTGCGAAGGAATGCCGCAATGGTTTTAGTTAGCTTAGGAGTATCACTTCTATCTAGGCAAAAGGAGAGAGACAATCTTGTCGGTAATCATGTATTGACTTTTTGGTGATATGCATGTTTATCATGTCTCATAATCGTTGCTATGGGGAATACCTATGGGGAATACCTATCCCGCCCTTATACCCTCTCGAAAACAGAGAGGCAACTAGGACATCGCATCAACTCCAGGTCTTCATGACTTCATCGACGCTGTGACCCATCCTGTCATGACTGCGACCTATCCTGTTCACGCCTTCTCCTCGGCGTCGGCGGGCGAGTTCACACCGCAGCGTCCGCAGGGGAATTCACACTACTCTCAACACTCCCCACAACCTTCCCTCCTTCCCCATCCACATCCCCAAACAACTCCTCCCCATCCCCCGTATCCATTGCCGACAGATCGAAGTCCATCTCCAACTCCTTCCCATGGTCCCCGATCCCGACGTCGCCGATCCCACTTCCGAAGTAATCCGCACCATCGGGACCATGTCCGTCGACAAGCCAGCGACTGAGATCGTCGTCGACCGCGGGGTTAGCTCCGCTAGCACTCGTTGGGGTCGTACCACCGCCTTCCCAGCCTTGAATGCCGTTCAGGCGGCCGCCGGGGGAGTAGGAGCCGACGCGGGAGAGCAGGTGGCGCACGCGTTCGTCTTGGTTGTCAAGGTGCGACGAGAGCTGCGTGAATTGTTCGGTGGGTGGGAGGTTGCCAAGTTCGAAGAGCGGGCTTGGTGCGCGGAAGGGAAGGTTCGCGGGGGGAGAGGCGCGAGAAGCAGTAGAGGCGATGGGTTGAGCGGGTTGCCGTTGTTCCTGTGTTTGTTGTATCTGGTTGCGTGCCTGCTGAGGCTGCTGCGTGGAGCGGGAAGAGACGGAGGTGCGTTCGCTCGTGGCGGTAGACGGGTGAGCGGCGGTCGTCATCGGCTGCGAAGGGCGAGGAGGGTCGGACGGGACGCGAGGGGTGCTGCCGTTCATGGTGAGGGGAGAACTGGGCCGCATGGATGGAGAAGTCGAATCGACCACAGTTTGGGGTGACGGCGGAGACGGGGCGGCGGTAATGTTGTTGAAGGCTGCGATGCCATCGGGGTTCCCGAACAGACTGTTCGCATTATTCGCATTGTTCGCCGGTGCGTTCTGGAAATGCGAGCTGGTGGCTGCATCGGCGCTGGCAGGGACAGACCCGATGCCGAAGTCGTTGGTCGCTTCGGGGGGAGGCAGCAGGGCGAAAGGTCGTCGACCACGTGCCCCCGCTGAGGCTCCCGGGTTGGCTCGCATCAGCGCAGCGCCGATGTCCGCGATATTCATGTCTTCCAGATTCACCACTTGACCGGGCATAGTCGAATTGTTCTGGCGCGGAGAGATGGGACCGTAGCCTTGAGTCTGGGTCAGGTTGGGAGCCGTATCCTTCTTGGCATAGAGCTGGAGGAACTGGAGGATGGAGTTGAGGACGTGAGCTTGCTTGCGATTCTGCTCCTCGAGATGGAGGACTCGCTGTGACAAGGCCTTATTTAAGTTCTTGTTCTCCCTGAGTTCGGCGATGACCATAGAAATGGTCTGGCTTGATTGCCGGTACTCCGACAAGTCCTTACGCATGCCGACAATCTCAGATCTGGGGATTGAGATGTTATCGTCCTTCGGCATGCCGTCTTCCACGTCATCTTCAGAAGCATCGACGTCCGCATCTGTCGCCAACCGCTTCCTCTTCGTGTCTCTCTTGCCCGTGGTCATGGACTTGGGCGGAGGTTTAGAGATCAACCACGCAAGCTCAGGCTTATCGCGCTGGAAGTACTTGTGCTCATAGGTGTGCGGCATCCGAACACCGTGCTCGTTCGCGTGGAAGCTACCTTCGTCGAGGCCGACTCGCTTGTGGAATCCGTACATATTCAGTTGACGGACGAAGGATGGGTAATTGTTATGTTTGAACATCCTGGGTATGACGTCCTTAGCGAAAGCTTCATCATCGGTAATAACAAATGCTTTCCCGTCCTTCGTCCAGTGGATGAGCTGGATCCACTCGCTCGTCTGCAGGAAGCTACACATCATTAGCATCGTCGAAGAGCGCGAATGGAAAATCACTGGCTTACCTGAGTAGCTTCTGAACGAAAGGAACCAGCGACTTCCTCTGAGCTTGCGCCTCGTCCTTGACCTTCCTCGCTCTAGCCAGAGCTTCTTCCTCAGTCTCCGCGGTGACATCGTGAGCATCGTTCCCCTGGACGCCGTCGTACTCCCTCAACTGTCCAGCTCGGGCCCGAGCTAACTGCTGCTGCTGGTTGCGACGGACCATTGTCGTCGACGGGCTCTCGGGCCGACCTATTTGGGCCGGCATTGCGTATGCCGCGGGGTTCTGCAGGTTCGGGTAGCCCATAAGACTACCGTACCCATTCTGCCCAAAGTGGTTATAGTCTGTGGCCATACTGTCCCACGGCGGATCCATGTCGGCGTTGACAACCTCGTCGTACGCTCCGGGAGCGTATGTATTCTGAATCGCTTGGGCGGTGGAGTTCTGGGCCGGGGGGACGCGTCGATGGGTGCGTGACGAGTCCATTTCGACGGCGAGGTGGAGCGTGGATGTAGTGACTATTCGCTCAGAGACCGTCAGGCATCGGATCTATAGGTTATCGGCAGGGAAAGTGAGGTGGAGATGACGGTGGAAGTTCTAAAGCAACGGAAGCGTGTCAGTCCAAAGTGGAGAAGGCAGCGCAGAAGTTGAAAGGTGTAGGCAATCGCTCCGGAATATTCTTTCAGCCTCCGATCAGTTTGTGGGACGCAGAGACCTGCAATGAGTGTAATCCTCTTGCTTAGTCGTCGTGCCGACACATGAACGAGCAGCTTCGTGATCGCGAAAAGCGGGTCCAGGCGAGGGCGCAACTCGATTCACGAGCTCGTCGTAGCCTGGAGCGGGGCCGTGAATTTATGGAGGGTGAGAAATTGATGGACCAGATTCTGAGGATTGATTTGACAGGAATTATGGTCTGGGGATGTATAGTAGAACCGTATGTTCCAGTTGCCAGAGTCGTGGAGGCGCAGCGGAGATATCGCGATGGTCTATATCGCCTACGTCGGATGATCCCACGCTGTGATGCCTCTGGAGGAAGGGGGATTAATGGTGAGATTTCTGAGGAACGGTTTGAAGAGAATCCTGGTCTAGGGATGTATAGTACGAGGAGGGTAGAGTAGGATGGTATATTCAAGCTGGCAGAGTTGTGGAAGCGCAGCGGAGATATCACGATCTTTGAATCGCGTGTGTCGGATGATCCCACAATGTACTGTCTCTGGAAAAAGGTGAATCAACGGCAAGGATTCTGCAGGCAGATTTGAAGGGAAGATTTGAAGGGAATTTCTAGACTGGGGACGTATGGTAGGAAAGTATGTTCAAGTTGCCAGAGTAGTAGAAGTGCAGCGGAGATATCGCGATGTTCAAATCGCGTGCGTCGGATGATCCCACATGTGGAGCATTGACGTCGAGGGGTTCAGCCCCTGGGCTCTCAGCCAATATGATGCGAGCCACTGAGTGAACAGCATGAAGCTAGTAATTCGAACTTCTTCAATTATCCCATGCGGGTATATTTAATATATTTACGGCTCTAGTCCTCTTCGACAAGGTATATTCCGCGATTCGTATCACGACCAAGTTCATATATTCTCGTGACGGCGACATCTTTGCACTCGAACACATCCGCTTCAACTGACTTGGTGAGCTCTCCGCCTGATGACAAAATGTCTATCGCACAAAAAGAAGCAACGGAATGAAATTCGGTGCCCTCATAAGCCTAGATGGAACAATGAAAGCACACTTGATAGATCTGGCACTCGGCATGCTGGATAATATATTTCGTTGGGCGTTCTAAGGATTTTGAATGATGATGAGGGAGAGAGGAGGTGGGAGATGTATCCGTTACTAATAAGGATTGATGAACTAACTAGCGTCACATCGACCACCGATTCCTGCTTTACAAAGTCCCATAAAAGCCTCAATATTGCCTAATCTAGACTAGCGTGCGAGAGCGCCCCAGCCAATGGGTACCAACTATGTCCAACGTCTCCTGAATAGATTCACCGACTCATACCACCTGTGGCCAAGCAAATGGAGCAACTATCTCTCCAACGAACGCTTTGGAGCGGCCCTGGAGACCTATCTTGAAGAGCGTGACCTCGTTCTGGGGGTCAAAGGCAGACCGGGACTGCCCGACATTCACAGGATCTATTGCACCGAAAGAATGTCGGCATTGGTCTTAGACATCATCGAGTCGAGCACTAAAAGGAGAACGGTGACTCATTGTGCCATGAGATGGACTAAATACTCTGGGGAAACAGTAAGGACCTGTCGTTATGAGTCCTCTGCAACTTCTTTCATCCTTGTGCCCATTCAGGGGTTGATTGCAAGAGCCTCCGCATCTCAAACACCTCCATACCTGCAGGCCTCCATTGTTCAGATATATCCATTCCTGCTGCAATTACCCTGTCGTGTACCATTGTTGAAGTCCACAAACTCGCAGTCTTTCCGGTAAAATCATCGAATTCAACATCCCCGTCCAGATCGAATGTGTCAGGGGACTGATGCCGGAGATCATCTGGATTTTCCCCGTGAATAGATACATCCTGTTTCAGTATTAATCAGAGATTCAGTCTCTTCCGTCATCGTTGAAGACGAGGCCATCGGAGTCAATGGTGACGCAGGATGTCTCATAGTCAGTGATAACAGTGCCGAAGCCATCGGAGATGTAAGTTGCCACCTAGATATCGGGGAGACCAGGGACCATGAAAGCGGAGGCTCCAGACCGGCCACGGGCTCGCATTAGGGATCTGCCATGAGGCCGGTATCGACTTATTTCAGGTGGACGTCGACTCCAGGGGCCCCGGAGAGGATCGCCAGAGAAGACATTTCGGAACGAAGGCGAACGAAGGGTATGATGTGTCCCAATATAAGTATACCTCTAGCCTATATCACCATCTAAATGACAAGGAGAATTTAATGAACGATGTTCACCTTCTACACATTGAAATGACGGTGGAAATACACTAAGTGCTCAATCGAATTGATATCGCGAACCAAAGATCGTCATTGCTTTTGAAGATACCTCACCATTAAAAGCTCCGTTTTCAATAGTCTCAGTTTGCCCATAGCTATCATTTTAAGCTAACTTCTCTTTCTCAAGGGAAACTAGAACAGGATACAGCAGGTTTGCATTGTCGTCGTCGTCCTGCAATCCCTATGCTCGTTCCGACGCATCATGTACAAATTTTCCGGCTTTCCAACCTAACTTCTCGCTTCTGGACACTATAGAATCTCCCTATAAGCCATAAGGCGGGTACGGTCTGACACTGGAGGATTATTTGCTTGGTCCGCGCATGTTGTTCTCGCAGCGTTGTATGTCAATGGTCTCAGAAAGCTTAGAGCGCGGACATGATGCCTGGCACCCTGGTTCCCACGAAGGAAATGCGGGGAGCTTACTGGCAGGACATCCCAATTTTATGATTGGTTGGTGTCCTCATTATTTTCAACTTTAGCGTAGAGCGGGGAAGGATAGCTTTCGAAGCATTCTATTGTAGTGGGTAGCACGGTAGATCGCTGAATGTTTGGAGGCCCCGGCAGCATTCATCCTAAGTGAATTTCGCTGTTCAGAGATTCACATGGTGAAATTGGTCAGATATAGGTACACATCGGATGATTTGCCTCATTAATTGAATCAGTGTAACTAGCATGGCCCCTTTGCCCATGATTTTGAATCCGGGATCTTATTCCCCGAAGATAACGGTCGGCACCTCCTCGAGGAAAACTTCCCTTGGAAAGACTCATGTATACAATACATAGCAACTTTAAATTACTCCTATCCCACCAGGAGTCAAAACTGAAAACTACTCCAGCGCTTCGCAAGGAGCATCGTACTTAGTACGTGTTTCAAAGGCCACTTCAGACGAATTCTCCCCACCGAAGCGAATAACCGTCGGAACTAAGGAGAGCACGTCAGCATTGCGAACAACAACATATCTTGAAGGGAGACTTACGCTCAGGAGTATACAGCGGATAACCCAACGCCGTGAGCCCATATCCTGGATTCTTGGCAAACGTCGTCCACGCCGTACTCATCGTCTTGATCAACTTCTTCTGCTCCTCTGTATCCGGCCGACGCGTGATATACTCCGTATTCCCGAACACGATGCCGATATCCGCACCGTGCCAGGCGCCCTCCGACCCGATGTCTTGGTTGGGCCATTCGCCCGCATAGAGATACCTCCAGGTTGGGATGCCGTGATTACGTCGGGCAAGAGCAGCAGCATGTGGACCGCATCCAAGGATGGAGAGTCCGGAAAGTCCGCCGGTAGAGTTCCCGCCAGGCCCGGGTCGGGGCCCGGTGATGGCGGCGAGGCCGCCTTCATCGTTCGTGGCACCGACCAGGACGGGCTAGATGAGATTGACTGTTAGAATTTGTGCGGATACTGGATGCCAAAGCTGGGTTACATCAAAGGAGTTCAATCGAGCAATTGGGGAAAGGAGACGTGACCTACCAGTCGGGCGAATTTACCCTCCTCCTGTCGCTTCGCGTAGTCATCGAAGACAATCTTTCCGTCAGCACTGGGGAAGAATGTGAAGCCGGCAGGTTCTAGAGGGTTCGTGGATGCTTTGATAGCGTTCAGGATCTCCTGGAAGGGCTTCTTGCGCATGCATTCCAGGGTTGAATCTGCCTCTCCTGGTTCGGCACCACCGCAACCCAAGGCTTTGCTAGTCGCGTACCACGAGGAGCCCTGCGATTGCGTGCTGGGGCTTCGAACTGAGACAGAACCACTCATGGGAATGTATCCTTTAACGATTGGATTCCATGGATAGGCGTAAGCATGCATGTCGGTCGAACCTCCGCCGGCGGATTGCCCGAACAGGATCATCTGGTCAGGATCGCCTCCAAACTCCTCGATATTGTCTCGCGCCCATTCGATCGCCAGTCGCTGGTCCAGGATTCCGAGATTGATGTCAGGAAGGAATGGTGCGCCAGGGAATCCGAAGATATTAATCCGGTAGTTCATCGTGACGACCACGACGTCGTAGTTATTCGCCAAGGCTGCGCCATTGTATGCAGGGCTTCGAGAGTTGCCCGTATTGAAGCCTCCGCCATAGATCCAGATCAAGACAGGCTTCTTCCGAGCTCCCGTCTGCGGCTTGGTCCACACATTGACAGTGAGACAGTCCTCGGAGAACGTGTCACCTGCTTGACCCAAGACCCCACCAATGGTTTCTCGAACCGACCCATAAGTTAGGTTGGATCCCGGCGGCGACGCAACATTGGCCGGGCACGAAGGAGAGAATTGCGTAGCATTCTGCGCATCATCGCTACGATATCGACGAGGTGCTGCCCATCTCAGGTCGCCAATCGGTGGCTCGGCGAAAGGAATGCCTAGGTACTCCGAGACTTCCGGTTGCCAGTCCGATTTCTGTCCAGTAAGCAAGCCACTGCTTGTGTCGACTTCTTGTCCAACTGTCCATTTTCGCGGAGGCCACGGGAACTCGGCCAAGGCAAGACTGGTAAGGACCGCCTGGAGGAAGAGCGTCTTCGCATGCATGATGATGAGACAAACGAATGACCGTAGACAATGAGCAGGAGCAATATTCAAAGACTTGTGGAGAAAAGAAACAATGGATACGGCACGAGCACAGTTCTTATAACTTACTGTGCCCGCAAGAATCTGGCATGATATCGTGACCATGCTGTGGAGAAGCTGCAGAGGGCCGACGCAACGAGCATATCGACACCCGAAAGGGAAATGCTAAATGGTAGACAGGGTACGAAGCCCATCACCGACGAATAGGAATGGAGCGGCAAAGCACGCCAGTATAGATTGATATTCTGGAAAGCGAAGCGGGAGCGAGAACGAAGTCGACGCTTTGACTAGTACTCCTCTTGCAGAAGTCTTATAGAATCCGAGCGTGTTAATGGATGTAGTGGCGTAGCACACAGAGGTTCGACAGGGTCGATAACCAGGGAGCTGGTCGCTTCGAGTACTTGAACCTGCCAGCCAATGTTATCCTAGATGCTTGCATCTCCACACATTCTTGGTCGGTAGATCTGGAATGTAAACCGAATAGCAGGGTCGATGGTACTTTGAGCCATTAAATTCATCTGCTCAGATAGAGATTCCGGTACGCTTGGACGTGATAGATTCCATGGCTTGGGATATAACCTCGAATGAACAAGGCAGTGAATGGGATAGATTGACTGGAAGTGCATTCGCCATACTGGTAGGAAACGGTAGAGATGTGTTTCGCATCGTCCTACTATATAAGCCAATAGTAAGGATGCCAGCGTTCCGAGGGATTCTGCTTCAGATATACAGGTTCATTTGATCAACCGATGGGACGGTAATGCATCTTGGTCACCAGGGTAGGGGCCCCGCGGCAGCATTAAGCAAATCTCTTAAGAAACACGCTCCTAATAGAAAGTCTTTAGACAGGACAATGACTCAGTAGAATAGAACTGCAGAAGTTCGTCATCGGAAAATACGACCGGAAATCTGCGCCTTCGCGGGGTTGGGAAAGCGGGGGGTGATACCATTGCGGAATCCATTCATGATAGCAGCCGAAAAGGCCGATCGATACCAGCGAGGGTTGGAAATGACAAAGGATCGCTCCGGTAAGTCAGACGAAACAGACCGCGATGGCGCAATTAATCGAGGTTGATATTGGAAGCTTATTGCGAAGTCAATAGGATAATAGACGTCGGTCCAAGTTGGACAGGTCACTGCGGTGAGGCTCATGCTGTAATTAGGTAGCTGGCCTTAAGGCAGCAAATGTGTCTGATCTATTGATCAATTGACGACATCTAGTCAGGCTCACATGAATTAGGGTTCCCAGTCGGGGAGATTTATAGTATGAGACCTTTAACGGACGGATGGATCTGTATAAACAACACCGGCAAGGAAATATGTACAGCCATTTGGCCGCCTCTCACAGCGCCAAATATATCCAGACACCCCCCGAATCTACGATTCTATAGCGCCTCTAATAACACTGAGACGTGACACGCCAAGTATATGATACCAATTTCAAAGCCCACCCAGCATGCGCACGATCCAAATCACGGCTTTTGATGCTCAGCCTGCCTCGCCTTCCACGCCGTCTTTGCGTCTCTTACCAACCCCTCCAGATCGCCTGTCGTCTCGCACATCCCGCGGAACGTGCCCCCCTCCGTCGTCACGAGGTCGTACGGGTCCCCGTACTCGATGACTGCGCCCTTGTCTAGCACCAGCACCTTGTCGTAGTCGATAATCGTCTGCAGCCGGTGCGCGATCGTGATAGTCGTGTTCTGCAGCTCGCGGATCGTCTCCTGGATCTTCGCGTCCGTCGCGTAGTCGATGCTGGCCGTCGCTTCGTCCATAAGGAGGACTTTCGGGGTCTTCAGCATCGCGCGGGCGAGGCAGAGGAGTTGGCGCTGGCCTTGGGAGAGGTTGGAGCCCGATTCGGTGACGGGGGAGGAGAGGTTGCGGAAGATGTTTTTGTTTTCGGCGGTGAGGGGGTCGACAGAACTGGGTTGGGATGGATGGATGTCGATTTCGGCGTCGGATGAACTGGCAGTTGTATCGGCCGCGTTTAATTTGACCGCGGGTGTGGTAGGGCGCGCCGGCGAGTTCGTGGCTGCCGTAGACGAAAAAGTCTCGCTGATAAGCTGCACACCACGGAGAGAAGCGTAGATCTCCTCATCGGTAAACAGGCCGAAAGGATCCAGATTACTTCGAATGGTACCAGTAAACAATGTTGGATCTGCATGTTTAGTTAGTCAAAGTCAATTCCTAGCAATTGCTGTTCATACCTTGTGGCACCATCACGATATTCTCCCTCAAATCCTGCAGGCCAATCAACCCAATGTCCACATCGTCCACCAAAATCTTCCCCTCTTCCGCCTCCAACGCCCGGAAAAGCGCGAGCGCCAAGCTACTCTTCCCGGCGCCCGTCCGACCCACAACGCCGACCTTCTCGCCCGGCGCAATCTTGAACGTGATCTTCTTCAGCACGAAATCAAAGTCTGCTCGATACCGCGTGGAGTACGCGATGAACTCCACCGAACCCTGACTCGGCCAGTTGCTCGGGGGGCGCGTGTGCGGAATGATGGCGGCCGCCTCCTGCTCGACGTCGAGATACTCTTTGATGCGCTCCACCGAGTTCATGTTCTGCTCGTTGGCCGCGTAGAGACGGACAAACCACAGCACGTTTTCGGTGAAGGTCACGGCGTACGTCATCGCTAAACCGGCCGCGCCAGCGTCAATCTTGCCAACGGAAAGGAGAACGAAGGCGCCTGTGAAGAACGATACCATGGCGCCTACCACGTCGACGCGGAACGCCAGCCAGCGGTTGGCGGCCCATAAGTAGATGAATGGTCGATTGTGGGTGTTGATCTTGGCGAGGTTCTCTCGGATGAATCGTCGCTCGTCTCCATATGCGCGGATCGTCGTCATTCCCGAGAGGGTCTCACCAAATTGCTGGTAGAGCGGACTCCGTTGGATGGACTCTAGCCGCTTTAGGTCGCGAGAGGAGTTGATATAGAACTTCCCGATGAGGAAGTAGAAGATGGAAATGAAGAACCCAGCGATCAAGAAGGCGGGGGTGATCACGGAAATCAGGATGACAATCGTGATAATCGAAGCCAGGCAATGGATGACGCCGATGGCGGTCGGAGCAACCTCTTGGTCGATGGCCTCGATGTCTTTGGAGAAGCGATTCATGATCTGTCCCAATGGCGTCGAGTCAAAGAATCGGAACTTGGCTCGGGAAACGGCCTGGATCAGTCTCGTATGAATCCTCCGCGATGCCGTCAATGATCCCGCGAAGAGAACGCCTTCCCGAGCCAATGTGACAAACATGTAAATGAGACCAAGCACCGCATAGATGGTGAGATAGTAGCCGGGATTGACATCTTTATTGTCGTTTGAGGCGAACGGGAGCATATTCGCTCCATAATGGCTTCTGGCTTTGCCGTGGTCACTCGTGTTCCCGCTCCAGGAACTTGGGATGCCCCAGGGACAAGTTCCGCTGCTCAAACAGCTTCCAAGTCCGGACAAGGTACCGAAATGAGTTGCGCCGGCCATTGTATTTGGGGCTGGAGAGTAGTCTTGCTCCAAATCGAGAGCGCTAGCTCCACTTGTCCGTCGAACCGTGTAAGCGTTCGCCCATTCGCGAATCCATACGTTCGTCGCCACGCTGGTGATCTGTTGAGCGATGAATACAAAAGCCGCAGCAACCCAATAGTACCACCGGCCCATGGCTTTGAAATAGAGGGCGATGACCGCCAGCTTGACGCCTCCTTCAGCTTTCGTCTCGGTGAGCCCCTGTCGCATTTCGATCGGCTCGGTGCCGGTCGCAGCATCTAAGCCGGAGGGAGGCCCATTCGCCGGCTTCATCGGCGATCCGTCGGCGTCGGAGTCATTAATGGCCGTCGCTGCTGAATCTCGACTGGTTGCCCGGGCCAAGTCATTAATATCGTTCGGTTCGTCCACTCCGACATCACTCGGCACCCTCGAGGCGACGCGGCTCGGTCCGGGCGACACGGTCCCGCTCTTGCTGAGGTCCTCGGATAGTTTCCCGGAATTAATGACTTCTCGAGAGGTCCCTTGGGTGACGATGCGGCCGTTTTCCATGACAATGGCCTCGTGTGCGTGCGGCAGGCAGAGGGCGACGTTATGAGTGACCAGGATGCAGGTTCGGTTGTACATCAGCGGTCCAAGGATGGCTTGGTCGAAGATCCATTTGGCGGTGTGGGAGTCGACGGCGCTGAGCACGTCGTCAAGCAGGACATGTCGTGCGTGGGAGTAGAGCGCTCGAGCTAAGGATATGCGCTGTTTCTGGCCACCGGAGAGGGTAACGCCTTTCTCGCCCACAAGGGTCTGATCCCCATGATCTAAAATCTCCAAGTCACGTTGCAAGCTGCAGGCAACGATGACATCCTTGTAACGCTGGGCATCGTATGTGTCCGCGAAAAGAATGTTTTCCCGGATGGTATCGTTGACTAGCCATGCTTGTTGCGCGCAGTATGCAACCGATTCGGTGAGCCCGGTCTCTGGGTCTGGTCTAAGATCCTCTCTGCTTCGACCACCGGGAAGGAAAACCCGCCCTGACAGTAACGTCATCTCGCCGAGAAGGGCCATGAGGAGGCTTGACTTTCCAGATCCCGTTGGTCCAACGACAACGTTTAACTCGCCTGGACAAAAAGAAACATTCAGGTCCATTAACCGGAAGGCATCATCTTGCTTCGGAGTGTCATCGTCATCAGAGAATTTCCCATTCGCGGGGTTGTATCCCCAGGAGAATGTTCCTTTCTCGAAGCCGATCAGTTGCTCGTCGTCCTCATCCTCATCTTCGTCATGCAGCTGGTTGTACTTGTCGGTTTCCGCCTCATTTAGGAACTCGTCAATACGGTCGACGGAGACCTTCGATTCTTGAACGTGGGCAACCATGTCTGCGAGCTGGTCGAGGGGGATGCGAAGGATCTGGAATAAGGAGAGGGCCGTGAACGCGACGGATGGCACCAGGTCTCGTTTCTCAATGATCGTATATATGAAGAACGAGAGGAACGTAATCACAATCGGTGAACCAGACCACACTGTTGCAGCCGTCGCCCACCACATGTATTTTCTTCGAAGAGCACCGAGCTCCTTGGATCGCGTTTCGTCCACTTGCCCAATAAAGCGTTGTTCCCAAGCGAAGAATTTGATGATGCGGATATTGCTCAGGACTTCGTTGGTGGAGTTGATGCGCGAATCCGTGGCAGCCAGAATCTGCTTCTGGATGGACGAGAATTTCTTCGAGATCAAGAGGTTGATCGGGAGAAGTCCAGCCATCAGACCAATACCAGCGATGGAGCTGTAACCGAGGATTTGGTAGAGCAGGACGACCGCAGTTATGACTTGAACCGGTGTCGCGGCCCACAGGAAGTGCAAGTAGGCACAAATTTCACTGAGCTTGAACGAGTCCACCGCCATCAAATTTATGACAGCTCCAGAAGAGACAATCCCCTCATCGATCTCGACTGCTGCGGGCTTCTTGTCCTCGCTCTTCTTCATCGTAAATCTTCGCACTAGCCGCTTCATCGTGGAGCCACCCCCCTTTCCATCAGCTCGCTTTTTCTCTTGGCCTAAGACTTTGTCGCCAGAATTTCCGACCCTTCGCTTCAATGCCTTGGAGTAAATCTCGCCGATGATGACCGCACGAATCCGAATACAGATCTTTCGGCCGATCCACAATGTTTGTCCGTCTGCCAATGCTGAAGCGCAGCCGGAAACGAACAGAAGCATGACGAAGAACCACGCTGCGTTTCGAGGAAACATCGATGGTTGTTCGACGTATTCCAAGATGACTTTCAGCAGAAGCGTCGGGGCGAAGGTCAAGAAACCTGATAGACCGGCCCAGGCCGCTTGAATCAGCAGCTGTCTCCGGAAGAAGCGGAGGAGATGCCATGCGAGCGCGTGCGTCTTCTTGAGCTGACGGTAGGTTGCGATCACATAGGCCGCCTTGTCATGAGGAGAAACATTCCAGACATCGGACATCTCGAACGTCTTTTGATAGCCTTTCCACACGATTGCGTCAACCCATCCAAAGGTGGCGAGGGAGAGAACGCTCGCAGTCTGCTCTTTTGAAGGCTGTATGCCATTTTCATACTCCAATTCCACCACCTTATTTCCCTTGCGGGATGTGAGGGAGATCAAGAACAGGAGGCTGGTCAACGAAAACTCTGCGATTGACAAGCCTCGCGCCAGGTCCGATCGCGGATGAAGGAGAGCGGAGCGGAATAGCAACACCGAAATTACCCAGAGATACCCATAGATGAATGCCGTGTGGTACCACAACTTCGGGAACGACAGTCGATGGGTAGCGGAGAAGAGGAGTCGAAGCGAAGCGATCGTCGCAATGTACGCCCAGACGACCAGGCCCGCAATCTCTGCATGTTGCCCATATCTTCCATCCACCTTAAGGATCAGCCTTGCCGCCTGTATCCCAAGCGTAGCCAGCACGGCTGCCTCTTCCAAAACGACGATCCAAAGTTCGCCCAGCGGCTTATCGACTTCCACGACGGACTCATGGGTCTTCACGGGTCGAAGGTCGAGGGTTGGCGAATGGTTGAGTTCGTCGCTGGATGCGTCCTCGGAGTTATATGCGGAGTCATTGCGTCCGACTCGGGGGGCGTCGGCTGGCCATATGTGCTGGCCGTTGCCAACTGGATCGGCGAGTTTATATTCATGGGGTCGGCGGGATCGGCTGTACGCGACGAACAGTTGGATCAGAAGATATGCGATGGACGCTCCGATTGCTATTAGAGGGAGGAAAATTTGCAAATAGCTGTTGCGCTCATGTTAGATCATTGCCCCTCATGCTCGGCGGTTCGGAGGCCCTTATGGAGGAGAACTCACTTTCGTTGGAAGCACTTGGAGAAGTCATCATCCCTCCACAGCGATCCTTTACAGCCGACAAACATTGCCACCAGCCACAACTCACGCCTTGCTATCACACTGTCTCAATCATTGATTGTGTCCGACCTTTTGCGGTCTTCCAGTGCGAACCAACGACGATATGGCGTGGGATTCCCACACCCTTCCGGTATGTCGTTCGGGCTAATAGCAATTCTGTTTAAGAGAAAGTATGGACAGGATCTGGAATACCGGATCTTTGGAGAGAGGATTGGAAGTAGGTCAAGTTATGGGGAGCTGTCTGTTGGCAAAGACTGTGCAGAGATTGGTGGTTTCTGTTGGGCTCCTCTTAGCTCTAGGGCGCGAGGATCAACTTTCTGCAAGTGGAGAAGCCGAGAAGCGAAACGGCGATGGACGGTCTGATGTCACCGCGACGATACCTGATCACCCGAACACCGGCAACAAGGGACCAATTCGCCAGACCTCACAAATAGATATCATCAAATATAACTCAATTGAACTCGCTTCGCTTTTGCGAAAATACCCAAATTAATGAAACCAAAGGAAACCATGCATTAGCGGTGGAGTCATACAGAAAAACCGGTGACAGACGTTGAGGATCTCCTGCATCTTGGGACACCGCCTGGACAGGGAATACTTCTTGTACTCACTGGCATCATGGAGGGAACGCTACCATTCATGCGACCATCCGAATCCGCATTATCTCCCAGGAAGACGCTTAAACCGCTTCTTTGTTCTTATGATCTGATCATAAGTCCGGATAGCTGCAGGGTTGAGGTTACTCTAGAACGATCTCGGCTAGTCTTTGGGGGTGAGGATCTAAGACCTGCCAGAATGGAATAGTGTGCCCCGCTCATCGTTGTGATGGTGGAAGCAAACCTGACGCAAAGGGCGAGACAAGAGAGACATTTTGTCGTTTGGATCTAGAACATTCGTAAGTGTGTGCAGGCGCTGCCGAGTTCTCCGATGCGGTGCTATGGATCATCTATGGATGGAGGGGATCATCGATGATCTGGGGCAAGATGAACTTCCCTGCATAGGAGACATTTCTCTCCTCTCGCTAGAGCACTTAATCTTTAGGTCATCCATTTAAATATTCCGTATGGATGTAGGGACCATTAACCATAAACTTGGTGGTGCCATTATAGCCTAGTATGGTAACATTGAGGTCTCATTAAGGGCAAGCCAGCAAAAGTGGTGGGGCCATGCAGGGAGGCTGAACTTTCCAATCGAGGCACGGAATAGCAGTAGGTACCACACCAAGTAGCCTGGTTCTCCATCAAGAGGCCCTGGCAACCTGCAGGTGTGATAGGGACGTACGGTACTTGGCAGTCACTTTCTCCCCCATGGGATCGACGATTGTTTGATATTCATTTGATGATGTAGCACCTATGCTCAGCAAACTTAAACAGCGATCCCCCAGTCCAGTGGTCCCATTCACCACGAACCCCCATCGGGTCGATATACAGGTCCAGCGGATTCAGCATCCCTCCATACCTTCCGCCTACCGTGGCTTTGCCTCCGGCAACCACGCCGAGTACTTGGGCTTCGTCCTGTAGTTCATGTCAACAATGCTCCGACGCTCGTCCCGATACGTAGGGACCGTTCGATCAAACATACGTGCTATACGTCCGGAACGCAGACCGCGTCCACGTCAAGGTCGGGCGATGTTCCGCCGGCTCCCAGGCGCGGGCCTGGCGTTGCAAGAGCTTGTCGGCCGTGGGTGGTTGGTCGACCATGTAAGAAATCCAGGCGTGCCTGTCGCGTCGTCAGAGTTGGAGATCGATAGTCGGTGCGTGGCTATACATACCAGCCGGGCTCGATCTGGGAACTGTGTGGGGGATATCTGTTAGCATTGTGAATGGATCTAGATAGCGCGTCCTAGGCTTACGGATCATATTCTTTTTCCTTGTAGTCCACCCATCTCGTTCGTACTGCGGATGTCAGCATCTATCCCATTGAGCGTAAGGGATGCTTCGCACGCTGCATTTCCTCCTCCAGGTTCTCGAAGTATTTATTGCCGTATCGGTCGGTTCCGATCAGCGTGCCCGCCTTGGTATCGCCTATAACCCAGTCAATGGCCATCCGATGGCTTCGGACAGGAATTGTGGCATACCGATGTACTATATGTGTGCGAACGACTCGTTAGAGTGCAATCTGTCGACTTGGGGAAGCTTCCCGTACCTGCATTTGGTGCCCAAAATCCTATGCGAGTTAGCAATTGCCGCCGGAATTTGCGGTGGAATGGAATTCACCTTCAGACCCACCCTCCACAGGTTCCTCAGCGTTCGGGGTATTGTGGACATCTTGACTAGCGAAGTCGGGACACTGTGAAGCTGAACTTGATAGATTGGTGGTTGGATGGTCGTGATGCCGGATCTTGAGTTCACGATGGTGGTCCGTGCTTCTCCATCCGCCCATGCGGCCATGCCCCATATTAATAGTTCTATTTGATAGTTATCAACATTCGAGATGGAGTTCCGATGTCCTCGAAATAGAATTGCCTGCACTGTTTTATTTGATTTTTTCTCTGATACAGTCGCTCTATTACAAAAGTAGTGGCATGTTATTAATGCACTATAATGAAAGTTGAATGTCGATAAACGGAGTTTTCCTTCTCTCTTCTCTCATTTACCATGATATCGCGCAGTGCTGTCCCCGTCCTTCGAGCCGCCCGCCGCATCAGCTCATGTCATTTCTCCTTCAAAAATGTTCCAATTCGTGTTCGGAAACTCTCTTCCTCGTCAACATCAAGTACCCTACCGGTGCAACCGTCAAGTTCTATCGCAGCGGTAGGGACATTGACGAACGAGATCGACAAGCTTGCTCCTCGCTTTGAGCTTGATGGATCACAAATTCAGATCTTGCGGACGCCATCGGAGTTCTATGAGACTCTGAAGGTACGTTTTCCTGGATACACCTTCGTAAAATGGATTTGGAGATTCAAGACCCCTGCTTACACCTGTCCCAGGAAAAAATCAAGCACGCGAAGAGGAGAATATTCTTATCGACCTTATACATTGGCAAGACAGAGCATGAACTAGTAAATCCCCCATAACCAACTCACCCCTCAGCCGCTGACCCCACCAGATTGAGACGTTGAGAGAATCTCTCAAAGCCAATCCAGATGTGACCGTCTCCATCCTCACCGACGCCCTTCGCGGCACGCGGGAGACCCCCGACCCTTCCACCGCATCACTACTCGCGCCGCTGGTCGCGGAATTTGGGGAGCAGCGCGTGGAGATCCGCATGTTCCACACGCCCAACCTGACCGGCGTCCGGAAACGCGTGGTCCCCAACCGCATTAACGAAGGATGGGGGCTGCAGCACATGAAGCTCTACGGCGTCGACGACGAGCTCATCATGTCCGGGGCGAACTTGTCCAATGACTACTTCACGAACCGCCAGGATAGGTACCACGTCTTCGCGGATCGTGAGGTCGTGAAGTACTATTCTGCGCTCCATGATGCTGTGTGTTGCATTAGCTTTCGGATCCGCCCGGGTCCCGATACCTCAGGTGGTTATACCATGTCTTGGGAGCCGACAAACGCCGCTCCATCTCCCCTGGAGGGACCATCAAAATTCATCGCCGCCGCCTCAAAGTCCCTGCAACCCTTCACGTCCGTCTCCTCCCAAATCGTCACCCAACCCCCCCAAACCAAAGGCGCACTCAGCAGCGGTTCGAAAACCGTCCTGTATCCCCTCGTCCAGCTCACCCCTCTCCTAAATCCCGACACCTCCACCGAACTCCCGGCCCTCCGTCTGCTCCTACGCAGCCTCGCCTCCCCCGCTTTCGCCGGCCACTCCTGGACCTTCACCGCCGGCTACTTCAACATGACCCCCGAGACCCGCGACCTCCTCCTCCGCACCAACCCCTCCCACGCCACCGTCGTGGCCGCCAGCCCGTGGGCGAACGGATTCTACGGATCCGCCGGTGTGAGCGGGATGCTCCCGGCGGCCTACACCCTCCTTGCGCGGCGGTTCGTGCGCGCGGTGAAGGCGGCCGGCCGGGGCGAGCAAGTGCGTCTCAAGGAGTGGCGGAAGGGGACGGTCGGGGAGAAAGGCGGGTGGACGTACCACGCGAAGGGGCTGTGGGTGACGATGGCGGGGGAGAAGGCGCGAGGGCCGAGCATGACGTTGGTGGGGAGCAGTAATTATACGAAGCGGAGTCATCAATTGGATTTGGAGGCGAATGCGCTAATCGTGACGCGGGATGCGGCACTCATGAAGCGGCTGGGAGAGGAAGAGACGTGGTTGCAGGATCATGCGAAGGTGGTGGAGGAAGGGGAGTTCGAGCGGACGGAACGACGTGTCGGACTACATGTAAGAATAGCCATGCTCCTCGTGAGCGCACTGGGCGGGGCATTGTAAACTCGATTCCAATGTGACGCTCCGAGCCTCCGATTCATCCGTGGCCGAACGACACGTCGAAGTCACAAACAAGGCCCGTCGCCAACCTTCCTATACCCACCAAGCGCCTCTACCCCCCCAACCAACGGCAACTGTATCGCCACTGTCTGCTGCCGCAACGGATACTCCGTGACGTGCCCCCGACCCGTCGTATCCGTCGCCACGATCAATCCATCCCTCCCCCCCTTCACCCACGCCTCCGTCTTACTATTACGCTGCACATCCGGCAACGTCACATGGGCCAATCCAGCCGTGAAGTGCACCAACCTACACCACCGCATTAGCATCACATCGGAGAGACAGCGGCGGACGGGCTTCTAATTAATGCCCAGATGTCAGACATACTGCTCTCGTGGCGCCGTGTGCAGCCCCCCATAGAACCGCGCTGGCAATACCGTATACGTCCCCCCCTCCCTCACCGCCTCAAATGGCAGCGCCATCGCACCACTGATCCCCGCATCCTCGGAGACCGTGAACGGCGTGTTGAGCTCCCAGCACTCGATGGCGGAGGTGTCCTGCGCGGTGGAGACGAGGGCGGTGAGCTGGAGGCGGGTCTCGTTGGCGCCGGAGGGGGACTGGGTGGTTACGAAGGGGTTCTTCGCGTAGGGTCGGGGGGAGGCGAGGTCTTCTAGTAGTGGGGCGTAGATCAAGAGGAACGGGAGGAGGACGGCGAGGACGAGGAGGGGCCGGGCGGGAAAGCTGGTGAGGGAGTGGGAGTCCATTGTGCCATGATAATGTGAAGTACGGACAATCGATTGATCGATATTATGGGATTATAGATGATGATCCGGAGGCTCCGAGTATGGGGTGAGATCAAGCATAGAGATATGCCTCTATGCTGTCAGCAATGTAGATCACCCATTCAGCCATTCCCAGCAAAACCACCACATTCCTTCTAATTGTACTACGTACGTATTCGTACTCTCCATTGCCATTCGTCATCATCACATAACAACATGAACATGCCCGAGAATGTCCAATGGCAATTGAAGCCACGTAATACTTATACAGCAATCTTTGGCTGAGTAAGTAGTAAGATAATTTCTATAATTAGGTGCTGGGGGGATCCATCCCAAAACAATCCAACTCACCCTCTGGCAAATCACCCAACTCTTTGAAAAAGGCCAGTGAACACAGAATTGATCTTCACAAACAGATAATATGAAATCTGTCCAATAACAATAGAATAATCAAATATATTCCTCTTTTTCGTTTCTACACGTGTGCTAGCCTATGACACGGTCTGGATGCGCAAGGTCTGCGATTACCAAGTTCCATTAATCTAAACTGAAGAGAGAGAGAGAGAGAAGAAATCTCCCGGCACCTTTGTGCGCGAGATAGCGACTCTCCTCTCCAATGCCCTACTGCTGTGTTACCATGTTTGTTTGCTTCTCTGATATAATCCACCAGCCACGTCTTCAGCCACAACCAAGGGAACAGGCCGCAGGCCTGGGACCATAACAGCCTAAAGGAATAATAAACAGAAGCGAGAAATTGACACCTGTTCCACGTGACTCTGACATTGAGGCCAAATATTGTCCAACAGAATTCATCTGATTGGTTGGAAATGTTTGGAGGGGGGACGGAAGCAAAATCTCCGTCTTGGATTTTCTTTCCTTCACTTCCCTTTCATCTTCTTTAACATGATGTATCGATCTTCTCAATGGCATGTGAACCATGACACAACAAATGAACGGTCACAACCATTGATGACTTGTCCTCTTGTGTGAACGTATGTATCTGCCGGGGCCCAGGGGTCAATAACTCAATGTCCATATGCAGGGACACTACGCTCTCCGCGTTTTAGCTAAGGCCGGAGAACATTCGGGCACCCTCCGCGGTCTATCAAATCAGATCCCGCTATCTCCCCGCGAAATAGTGCCAAGTGCCTCGGTAAGTGTTCCGTCCCCAGTCGTATTGGGCCAGTCAAGGGCAAGCGATTTCATATCGCCGGCTTAATTCTCCATCCAATTCGGACTGATCGGCCGAGCCTCGTTTGACTTGTAGTGGGAGATATCTTTTTCTTTGGCTCATTTCTGACTTCCGATTCATCGTGCTTGCTTATTCTTCTGTCCTCTTTGCCCCTTACTCATTCTCGGAGTTGTGACTTACCTCAATCAACGAGAGCCTTCCATCGCGATATTTGCCACTTTAAAAGGCACCAATACTTGTCGTGAACAAGTCGTTGATATTGAGCAACATGGCATCGAAGACCTTTTCACGGAAGGAAGTCAGCACTCACAATAATGTGGACTCGTTGTGGTGCATCATCGACCACAAAGTCTATGATCTGACGGACTTCGTCGACGCACACCCCGGTGGCAATGTCGTCCTAGAGCAGATCGCTGGCACCGATGCCACCGATGCTTTCTATAACTTGCACAGGCAGGAAGTTCTCGCCAAGTATAGAGACCTCTGCATCGGTACCGTCGAGGGCGAGACGCCGGAGGTGATCGAGCTGGGCCCCACCGATCTCTCAACCGTCCCATACGCAGAGCCGCTGTGGCTTCGCCCTCCCTACAAGAGCCCTTACTACAACGACTCGCATCGCAGACTCCAAAAGGTCATGAGGGAGTTCACCAATCTCCATGTGTACCCAGAGGCACAGCAGAAGGAGCAGGACGGAACCTATATCAGCCAGGAATTGATCGACAAGATGGCGGCAAATGGTCTCCTGGCGATGCGCCTCGGACCCGGAGCACATCTCCATGGAAAGGAGCTTATGGGCGGAGCCGTCAAGGGCGAGGAGTTCGACTATTTCCACGACATGATTGTCGCGCAGGAAATGGTGAGATCAAAAGCCCGAGGTTTCCAGGATGGGAACATGGCAGGCATGGTCATCTCTTTGACGGCCGTCCAATCATGGCTGGGAGACAAGGCGCTCAAAGCCAAGGTGAATGAGGAAGTCCTTTCGGGAAAGAAGAAGATCTGTCTCGCCATCACTGAGGCGTTTGCTGGATCCGATGTCGCGGGGATTCGGACGACTGCGACCAAGACCCCGGATGGCAAGCACTACATCATCAGCGGAACCAAGAAATGGATCACTAACGGGATGTTCTGCGATTATTTCGTCACTGGCTGCCGAACCGAGAAGGGCTTCTCCGTCATCCTCATCCCCCGCGACGACAACGTCGAGACCACCAAGATCAAGACCTCCTACTCCCCGACCGCGGCGACGTCGTTCGTCCAGTTCGACAAGGTCAAGGTCCCCGTCAACTACCTCCTCGGCGAGGAACACAAGGGCTTCGCCGTCATCATGAGCAACTTCAACCACGAGCGGTGGAACATGTGCTGTGCGGTCATCCGCTCCATGCGCACTATCACGGAGGAGTGCTTCAAGTGGGCCAACCAGCGCATCCTCTTCGGCAAGCGTCTGATCGACCAACCCGTCATCCGCCAAAAGTAAGTACCCAGTTCCCCTCTCCTGACTTTACCTTCGCATCATACTCACTTCCCCCCCACCAGACTCGCCCGCATGATCTCCTACTGCGAATCCAACCAAGCCTACCTCGAGGCCATCACCCACGAAATGAACTCCCTCACTTACGCCGAGATCTCCAAGAAGATGGGCGGTCCCATCGGCTTCCTGAAGAGCTTCGCCACCCGCTCTGCCCACGAGATCGCCGACGACGCCGTCAACATCTTCGGCGGCCGCGGCCTCACTCAGACCGGCATGGGCCGCTACGTCGAGATGTTCCATCGCACTTACAAGTTCGATGCAATCCTCGGTGGCGCGGAGGAAGTGCTTGCCGACCTGGGGGTGCGGCAGGCGATGAAGCAGATGCCGAAGTCAATGTTGTGATTTTTGCCATTTGTGCTCCTAAAGATAGACGTGTATGTATATATAGAGCCGTGTTTCTCAGCATCGTTGGGCGTTTGAATTCCTTTGTTTGAATAGTTCGTTTCGAATCTGTAGTAAAAATAAGCGTTTTCGAATCTGCAGCGTAGATGGTTCCTATCGATATACCAGTATAGTAGGCATAGGTCCTTTTGCACTCATTTTCTGTATGAACCATTTGATGGCTTCGGTGAAAAGAACTCAGGTCATTGCAAAATTGAGAATAGGCAGCGCCGTCGCTTTCGTTCGCCGCACTTCTCGTTCAACCTTTTTTTTCTGGCGAGTTTCAGGGCTCACTGATCCACGCTCTCTCCAACAGAGGAGTAATTCTCAGCATCTTCTTTCCTCCCATAGTTCTGCTTTCGAGTATATCTCTGGCAGAGTCCTTCTCGAATCCTGGACTAGAATTCTGTATTAGCTATCGCGGAGCAATCGCCGATAACTAATAAAGGATGACAGTAGCAGACGCTTTTGAAGTTTGTTTTCTCGTGATACTTCTTTGCAGGTGAGTAATCTGACCGCAACCCTCGAGGATATAGGGTAAAACCACGACCCGCACTAATCGGAGGGATAGGGTGCTAGCGGTCCATGATGGAACACATTCGAGGCTACTGAGACTGGGAAAACAATGATGGTATATCTATAGGAAGACAAATTCTCAGGCATTGAGCTCGTTGAAGGGTCTTTGGAATGTGCAATATCAATCCATATTTCATATGCCTCCAGTGTTCTCTGCAGGCCAACAGCCATTCCTCATCGATAAGCGAGCCCTTCGATAAGAGTACTCCTCAATACGGCCTTGTGATAAGCCCCGTTCTGATAGCGTGTTCTTTGAAGAGCGCTATTTTCAATCAACAAATATCTTTGTCTACCCGCCTCCCTTGCATCTTCGGGCACACACCTTGTCCCATTTTCACCACCATGGGCAGAATACCCAGAACAGCCATCTCTCTCCACGAAATTAAGTAATGCTATTTCCTCAATATACATTGTACAAACAGCGGATGTTCAAGAACCATGGATTTTATCATCGCCTCCCCCAGGATTGGCTCTACCACCGTCATGATCGACTGGCTACCATTATGCACTTCGGATCACCAGATGGCAATGGCTAGGATACCAGAAGCTCGATGCGTGTTTCATGTCCATATCATGGGCGATCCTCGCATTATTCCCTCAGGAGAGCACCGATATCGCCGCCCTTCGGCTGTGTACTGTTGGGATTTCGACCGCCCAAACTACGACTATCACGCCCGTTCTCAATCCTCAGCCCGGAGCGGATCACTCTCACAACAATAACAAGGCAACCATACCATCGAACCTTTTGTCCAACATGGAATTATAAGGACATAACCCTTCCGGATTATTCAATGGTCGTCGTCGCTCTGGTGGTGGCAGAGGCGACTGATACGACTGATAACGGATGATCCTTGGGTGCCCGCTTTTTCTCCTATCCAGGGTAGAAGAAATCGATTGCTTCTCCCCTTCGACGTGTAACCCCAGCCTATGAAAGCGGAGAATTGCATCGTCTTCCTAAATACAATGGAATAAAAAGCGAAAACAAGCAAGGATTCAGCGTTCTCGATACCTTAGGGGTATTCTTCAGGACCATCAATAACTTCTTCTAGGTTCCCTAAATGTATCGCAGCAAGGGGTGCTGCTTCCGAGCGATATAAAAGGACATAGGAGACAGAATGCCGATTTCTAATGCAAACCTTCCACCAACGACCAGCTTCCACCCCGACCTCCCTAATACCATCCCTTGGGCATGCAATCACATTATCATGGACAGGAGGCGATGATTTCTTTGTTCTCTGTGTTACAATGAATTTCTAATGCATTAAAATGGATGCCCAGACCTTTGGTTAATCTGTCGAAATAATTGCCATGGCGCCTTTCATTCCCCTAGGAACCATCTGAAAAAGTTACGCTCAGTGTATCGCAGCAAACAACGGCGCGGTGCACTAAAGTGATCTGAGTAAGCGACTTTCGGAACTCAGCATTGTAGGGGATAATACTCTCATTATGGGCATTCCAGACGACGATGACGGGATTGCTGGATTCGACTAACCAAGTGTACATGAACCATCCCTGACTGAACCAACGGCTGAGCGAGCAGGACGAGTCGACCCAAGTACCGGTGACGATAATATCAACGTGACAACGGCAAACGGGAACGATATGCCCCCAAAGGGCCCTAAATACAACCACCCAGAATGTTGGGCACAGCTCACAGTCTTGTCCCACTGTTGTACTGCTTGCCAGAATACTTTATACGTGGTTCGGGGCGAGATGCTGACCGTGTACTACTGCAACATAGTCTACCAAGCGAAGCACTGGCCAGTGCATAAGCGGGCCTACCTACTTCTCCAGGAATACAAGACCGTTAAACGAGCAGCAGTGATGGCCGAGGAACTCGAGAGACTCTTCCGCTAGTTCACGTTCGACAAGAAGATCACCAAAATTCTTCGGGTACGCGGCATACTTTACCTCATCGAGCAAGAATAGGACAAACTGAAGCTTCCGATCATCCCGCCATTGAGAACTCACTAATGAACACGAGATTCATCAAGTGCTAGGACATAATTCGAGCGACATCTGCTTGACTTGGCTCCACTCTCTGATGTGCAGATTACTTCAACGTAAGTGACCTTGGGCTGCGATTAACAGCAATTCCAAGAGCCGGTGGTATGCCCTAACATATTTCTAGACTTCGGGGATCGCGCAGTCGAGATCCAAATGCAAACCGATCGTGATGTGAGCCTCATCCGCTGCCGTCACCTTGAAGGTGGTCACTATGAACGGAAGGGGTTTCATTCCGTCTACACCATTATCATGTCAGGCGGAAAAGAGTTGATCATGGATCCCAATATTGCTGTATTGGCCGCTAGGCACCAAGTTCGGCAGATGCCATTCTACAAAGTAGGGGCTTGAAGACCATCACACACCAACCTCTTGGTTTTGCGAACAAAAATGGTCTTACTTCCCCTCGGCTGAAAAATGATCCTCCCTGGATGATCCGATCCATGTGGTGCTCGTACATCCAGATGTTTCTCGAGAAATGGGATCTGATGGACTGGAAAGAACAGGAAGTTACGAAAGAGCAGTCTGATCGGGCAAGAATGTTGGAACTTAAGGGGAGTGCCAGGGAGCTATTAACAATGCTCGATTCTATGACATCCAGGTATCCCAGCAACAATCCGGCTGCGGAGAAGCAGCTCGCCAATCCACCCGTGAGTTGTTGATGGAAGATACAGAACTTACACATGAATTAGTGGCGAACGGTAAGAAGGAGAAATAGTGTTTGAAGCGGATAAGCAGTTGACTTGATACCGAGACGGATTCTTCTTATTTCGATGTTCTTTCTTGTCTCACATGTCGATGGTGGAAGAGACGGGAGTTGCAATGAGTCGTAAATTAGCGAGGAATAAATCCACATCAATCAAAGACTCCGGAAGTTGGAGTCCCATAATGCATCAGCATGGCATTGAACGATATTCTCTACAAACCGAATGATTTGATTTCTTAAAATGACATTCTTGAAAGTTGGATGAGGTGAGGTCGATCTTCGACGCATCGGGATCAGCGGGCCGAGCCGGCTGAATCAGCGCTAAACCCAATCCCTTAGTTACTCCATACAGGATAGGAATCGTTAGCTTAGCCAGCCAACGGACTTTGATTCTCAAGCGCTTCCCGATATCCCGACCAAGCACCATTGCAATGGTTGCACTGCCGGGAGGAAATATTAAGCAACTCTATTAATAGTTATGGACATTATTCATTAATAATGGAACTACGGTAATACATAAACCACCTCTGCTTGCCAAGTTAAATCGACCTTGGTGCATCCCGTGAGCGGGGGTAGAGCGGTAGAGTACATGGCTTATAAAGTCGGCTCTTCCTTGAAACCGTTGGTTTGTTATCCTTCCGAGTCCTACCTTCGTCTGACATAGTATAGCAGTGGTTTTAAAGCTGTGTGTCTTATCAGATTCCTATATTCTCATAGCCGGCTTCGCTCGACTCTTTGTTCTCATCATGGAGAAATACAGCCTGGTTGGCATTGCTCTCGTTAGTCTCGTAATAGCGAGCTTCCTATGGAACTGTCTTTCTCTCTACTCAAACTATCAAGCCGCAAAGCAGCTAGGCGTACCCATTGTCATATCGCCCTTCGATTTCTACCAGCCCTTCTGGCAGTTGACCCACAAAGCGCTTCTGCCTCTCTTCCGTCGCCTCCCGAAGCCTTTGAACACGTTCACTCGGTTCTCATACTTTGGGTGGCAGTTTGACGACAAGAATGCAGCATATGAAGAATTCGGCCCTGCATTTGTGCTCGTGACGCCGGGGATGACCGAGTTTGTCGTCTCGGATCCCGGGGCGACCAAGGAGCTGCTAGCGACACATCATTCCTATTGCAAGCCACCCAGCATACAAATTGTTTCCTTGTATGGCCAGAACCTAGTGACTGTTGAAAAAGATGATTGGGTAAGGCACAGGAAACTGACGGCGCCGCATTTCAGTGAGCGCGTGAGTCGCTTTGTCTGGGATGAATCTATAGAGCAAACGCGTGGCATGCTCAGAAAGGTATTCGGGACGGTGAACAGTATATCAGATACCCTGGTGGAGGACTGCAAGATCATTGCCCTTCATGTCATTATGGGTGCTGGTCTAGGAGCGTCTCATGATTTCGACCGTGGAGCCAAGGGTATTCAAAAGGGCCACACCATGGGACTTGGTGAAAGTGTTTTCACTACATTGGAGAACATTACAATCATCCTAGTCTCATCTTCAGCATTCTCGTTGCTGAAGCTGCCAATCTTCCCCAAAAGTCTGCGGAAGGTCGGTGCCGCGGCCCAGGAGTACCGGAGCTATCTCGACGAACTGATCGAGACCGAGAAGAATAGAAGCTCCGATGATCTTAACCGACCCAATCTACTGAGTGCCATGGTCAGGGGAAACGATAATTCTCAAGGCGAGAAAGCATCTAGGTACAGGCTTTCCATCGATGAGATCCGTGGCAATCTATTCGCCTTTAGTTTCGCTGGCCACGACACGACTGCAAACGTCTTGGTATACACCTTCGCGCTTCTGGCAGTTCATCCAGAATGGCAGGACTGGATTGGAGAAGAAGTGGATGAAATCGGTAATCAATATCCCGATGGCCTCATAGAGTACGAAAAGATATATCCACGACTGAAGCGTTGTATGGCTACGATGGTGTGAAGATTCCCCTCAAAAGCTCTTCAATTAAACTAACCGACAGCAGTATGAGACTCTACGAATCTATGGCCCTGTTACTTGGATCCCCAGAGCGACCACCGCCCACCGTAGCCTCACCTTCTCGGAACCCTTGAAGGTCTCGGGGGAACAGTCAACAACGCTACCGCCCGGTATGCTCCTGAATATCAATGTCTACGAGCCGCATACAAGGCCTTCACACTGGGGTCAAGATTCCTACGCCTTCCGCCCCTCTCGTTTCGTGCTCACGCCGACTGAAACCAAACCCAACGGCTGGATCGTCGAAGGTGATAAGAACAATGACGGCACCGAGAAGATTATGCACCCTCCATCCGGAGTGTTCAACCCCTGGTCAATGGGACCACGGATATGTGTGGGGATTAAGTTCTCCCAGGTCGAGTTTGTTGCCGTCCTGTTCACGGTCCTCTCGCAGGCAAGGTTACGGGCAGCAAGTTCGAAGGGCGCCAAGCCGGGAAGCGAACAAGCGCGGAAGGGCTTGATGGCTGCGATAGAGGATTCGGCGTTCAATGGACCGACGTTGTGCACGAGTCGCCCGAAGGATATGGTCCTGGAATGGACGAAAAGATGATGTGGAGGGGGCGTAGCCCAAGCTTGTGAGTTCCATGTGGAAATACAGTGCTACAGGGGTGACTAATTCTGTAACCCCGGCGCTGTGCATTGCGGGAGATAATTCTAAGTTGTGAAAGAAGCATGGCCCGCTGGTTGTTCCAAGTTCCGTAGCCCTGGGGATGTATATCATGGGAGATTGTTCTAAGCAGAGCTCTAGAACTGTATTATATTATACAGGGAAATCAGGGCATTTATAAACGGTAGCCGAGTAGCTCACCTCTTATCAAAGACTGAGAATATAATGGGAGCTCCGTTCCGCAGCGAAAGGAGTTGGCTCGCTGGTTTTTCCGAATTCTGTAGCCCTGGGAATGTATACCATAGGAGATGATTCCAAGCAGAGCTCTAGAACTAGAGTATATTATACAGGTTACCTCTCACTACGGATTATAAGAATATGACGGGTACTCTGTTCCGCACCGAAAGGAACATGGCCCGCTGGGTTTTCCGAAAGCTCTAGAACTTGTCTCATATAGGCAAGGAAGGCGGCTCAAAAAGAATGCTGAAATTCAATTACGTAGAATTTCGGTCAAGGTATCCGAGAATCCTAAATCATAAAGATTCTCCACCTCTCTCAACTTCCAGCATCGCCTCCAACTATTCGGAACTATGATCCCGTTCACATGATCTGCAAGCCCTCGCGGAGGTTCTCCATCCCTCGTCCTTACCAGGATCTGCTTGCTCACAGCAGGCCATTGTACTGGAACGTTCACGACGCCCATCCCATCTTGCGACAACCGATAGTAGGAAGTATATGTCGGACGATCCCCGCGTAGGTCTCCCAGAAACACCACTCCGTCGTCCATGTCTTCTTTCCAGTCGTCCCACTTCCCGCTTTCGTTGGTCGTGGTGCCCACCCAGATGAGGTACACATGGTACAGTAATAGACCGAATGGTAGAGGTGCCGTCAAAACCGCGAGCAATCCTACGCCCGCCAATTTCCCTCCTCCAACCATGATCGCTAAGTTCAAAGTGTCCAGAAATCGCGAGACGACGTCCAACATGTGGTCCATCCTGGATTGTGGTCCTGGGATCTTCACCCGCACTCGCCCTCGCCATCGCGCTCGAGCAGTAACGATCATCGGTTGCAGGACATACCAGGAAAGATATGCACCGTAGCTGATCACCACGCCCATGCTGAGCAGTAGCGCCAAGAAGTACTTATAATTCCCCCTCCCCACGCAATTGTTCACCCACACGCAATGATGATCCGACCGCGCCACGCAGGTCTTGCAGATGCTGCAATGCTTGCTGCGCGCCGGCTTTTCGAATTTGCAGGTACGGCATTTTCGGCCGGGGTGGTAGAGCACGTAGTCGAGGGGATAGTCGAGCATGCGGTCCGCATGGTTGGAGGTGTCGATCTGGAGTTGGGGGTTCGATCGGGCGCAGAGGTAAGTGAGAAGGAAGGGCTGTGGGCTCAGGATTGTGATGAGGATGTGGTGGACGAGAGAAAGGTGAGGCCATGCGGCGGGGAGAAAAAGGATGTAGCAGATTCCAACGAGCCCAAGGAAGAAGATCTAGGTTGGTCAGTTCCATGTCATGCGTATCCCATCTCATGGCTACCAACCAGAATTCCTGGGTGTTTGTCGTATAGCAGGTAATTCCCCGTACGAGACAGACGTGACCCAAGACGCCCTCCACATATTAATCTGTCGATCGCGCTGAAACCATTCGGGATGTAGATCCAGATGACTCGGTGTAATGCACCGATTGGTGTATTCCTGCTCACCTGGTTAGCATTCTTCTCGGTGCTTCCTCCCTAGTCCGCCCAATTGGTGGAGATCTCATACCTGAATATCGGCAGCCTGCCAAAGAACGCGATGAAGGTGAAAAAGGAAATTGTAAGGATCGCTATCAGAATATTGCGGAGGGCTGACATCTTCTGCCGTGCCCAGTCTCCGCGGTGAGCCTATGCGCGAATTACACTAGCGGACCCTTCATGGATAATGGGAAAGCATGGGAAATCTATTCCGTACTATATATAATGCGCTCTCGGATGGCATGGAAAGTTCCTGCAGATTGTAAAATCATATATGGATCTTCTAGAGCTTGAGCTGGAGAAATGCAACGCATCAGCTTCGGTTGTTGTGAGGCTCAGGACCCTTGCCTGGCCCTTGCTCCATAGGGCTGAATTGCGGAGGGCATAACGAGGAATAACGACACATCCCATGTTTAGCAGCAGCACTAATAGGTAGATCTCTGGATCTCTGGAGAGGAATTATGTGTTGTACTGGCAATTTTCGGGAAACCAAACAACGAGAATACCAGACCTGGCGGTCCATCTGTCACCAATATCTCACCATCGAGTGCAGGCAGTTATGCCAACGATTGAGTGGTTGTGAGGTTCCAGAATTAGATGCACATACATCACTCGATCTGTACATCGCAGGATACTAGTCGCAAGGCTTGTATACAAGAAAAGGTCTCATTTCGTCTATGGATGCGTTTCTATGCATCGGTGGGAACTTCTTCTTCACCAGGATTGCGCCGTCTAAGATTACCGTCGCCCTGATTCGCTGTCGCAGCATCTACATTGGCCTCCGGAACGAGGTCATCTAGAGTCGGTTCCTCCCCATGCTCTTGCGGATCGCCCTCGAACAATCGAACCCACCACTGCGGAGGATCGAGTGGTCTATGGTCATTATGCAGTCGCGGGTAGATGTCGTTGAAATAATACCAAACTAAATGATGTCAGCACTAGCTCCCTGCAATCGTCCAACTAGATCGACCTACCGTGTCCTACGGCAATACCGCAGACCTCGTCTTTGGGCACCGTGTTCGAGAAAATGACGCCGAACGCGATCAACACCCATGGCAGAAAGGGCGCTCGGAACACGATCAGGCCAAGGAAGCTCAACAAAGAATCCGGGTTCCGCCGACTCCAGATATAAACCAGTGTGCTGGACAGCGCCGATCCGAGGAACGCAATGGAGAAGAAGGGTGCGATGCATAGAAGGGTGATGGATGCGTACGCCATCAGCCACGCGAAGTGCGCTGCAGATCGACCGGAGGATTCTTCTAGGAACCGGCAATAGCGCTGCAAGAAGAAGATGTGGAAGAGGAGGTCGAGGTTGATGGGGCCAACGTAGAGGAAGGTGGATATCAAACGCCAGTACTGCTCCGCGGTTAGCAACTGGACGAGCAAATATGGCTCGGAGATCATACCTGGCTCTTATGAAATACGGCTCGGTAGCTGTAGAATAGTTGGAAAGGTGTGAGGACGTGACATTGCACGAGAACGCTCGTAATAACAGTTGCAGTTGTCCACCAGCGTGTGCATACCGGCGTCTCGAAGAACCATTGCTCCAAAGGGAATCCACCGATTCCCTCGCCGCCACCTATACCGCCTGCAAAGAAGTCTGCCATGATCCAATGGCCGTATTCAAAAGATCGGTTGGGGACGGGGTGTTATAGGCTGCAATCGCGCTCTTGGGATGTGCTGGTCATCGGGAGTGGATGGAACTTGGAAGTTGCTGGAGGAGTTGGTAAGGAACGTATTATTGGAGGAGGAGGGAAGTGGATATCATATTGGAGAATTCAAAGGATACATTGCCACTCAACACACCGTTGCGAAGCCGGTGAGTTTGTGGTGTCACTCTGTTTCGTAAATGTAAAGTGCCAAAGTGTCCATACGGGAGCGGAATGCCACTGTGAAGGGACGTCACGTGGAGGGATCTTTGGTGATATCATCCTCCAAACTTTAATTGAACGTAACAAATGCTTCCTCAAATATTGTGGACATGAATCTGCATAATTTCTTGTAGTTGGCAAGAATGATCATCGCCGTAATTAATCATGATATGCATGTTTTCGCTCGGCCAATTGCCATGCTCCTTCGCGTCTAATTGATGCTGATAGATTTCTGTCGCCCAAGGTCAAATGGATCATACATCGCAGGGAGTGTGGTTTCAGTTCAAGAGCTAGGCAAAAAAGGGACTTAAGGAAATACAAACAAGAGGATTGGGTCGTTCAGAAAGCGCTACCGTATTTCATCAGCGTACACTACCAGCCAGGTGACTCACGATGTGCACATCTCTAGCAACGAAAGACTGGGAGTGTAATCTTTTTTGAGTGAGCGCCATACAGGTCACTTGCGATGTTCACGATGTTCACGGTGGACGATGGGCAAGCCGCAGTCACTTATAATGAGGCACTGGCCTCAAAGCTGAAAGCAAAAACAATTTCTTCAAATCCCTAACACTAAATGTGCACCTAGAGTACATATATCCATGTCGAACAACCTGATTCGATGTGGAGCGACACCCCCACCATGTTCAACCCTAACGAAGATCGTTGTTTCTAAAGGGATAATACCCTATTCAAGGTCTGCAGGTGGTAGCTCCCGAGCGCAACACCGCCGAACCCATTCAGGTGTTCCAAGGTCTGGGTCGACGGTTGATTTAATCTTCGCGGATTACCTTGCCGCTTTTGTCGTACATGAGTTTGCAGATTTCCCGCTTCGGTCAATCGAATGGGAAGAGGGGGCCGGACGAGGCGGGTTTGGCCGATGCAGTGGGCTTGGTCGGGCCGGAAGAGGAAGACTTGGTCGACAGGGGTGAGCGGGTGGAAGAGGGCTTCAGCTGGCTGGATTTGGCGAGGCCCGGGGAGGAAGACGTCCGTGGGAACGAAGAGAAGGATGGCTGGCCACGCTATTTGGCTATGGCGGGTGAAGTCGAGGGGGTTTTGCTCGACTTCGGGGACGGCTTGGCGGCCTTGAAGGACCTTTTCATCTAGTGAGCGTTGCGTTTCGCTACCACGTTGAAGGTGTCCATTTGTTTGGACTTCGTGCTTTGCCTCAGGAGCATGTCCAGTTAGTCCATCTGGATGAGCTTGAGGGCGCTGGGGCCTTGGGCAGTGGTGTGGGACATGGTGTAGGAGGTAAAGTGTTTGGTGTTATGAGATGCTGAGATTGTGGTGAGCGCAAAGATGGATACCGCTGGGAGGGTATTGGTCAGATACTTGCTAGTACAGAGTTGGTGACTCTGAGTGCGGGCAGAGCTTTGACTTGTTGAAGATTGTGAAGAGAAAGGGAAAAGAAGAAGGGCAGGATAGGAATTTCCTTGTATGCACCACGTCTCGAGAATCTCTGGAAAATTGGGAATAATTGTATCAAGGTTGGATGGATTACATCAACGGCAATTGGTTCGTTGGGCAGGACATTCCATCTGTTGACAGTTTGATGTTGCAGGAATAACCGATGGACCACTCAAATGTCAGCAGCAGCATCTCACGACAAAACAAACTAGAAATTCAAGTGAAGACACGGTTAGAACTTCCAGTAATTGAGCACCCATCGATTTCACGGCCCTCTGTCCGCCTTAGCCAACCGCGTATCGCTTGCTGTCCCACACGGCATGCTCTCAAGAGTCTGTCCTCGATACATAGGAATCTCTACAATCCCTCATCAAAGCTGTGAACTCGATGTCTGCAGCTCCCTCTCCCGCTGTGCTTTCCTCTCCGCATCGGTCCTAATCTTCTCCGCATTCACGACCAAAATAAAGTCCCGTTGATTCTTCATCGCATCCTTTGCCGCCGCGATCCCGGCCAGTTTCACTGAGTGATCCACCCCAACGCCCAACTTCTGCTTGACATAGCCCCATCCCGTGAGATACAAGCTGACCGTGTACTTGACGAACCCCTTCTTCGCAAATTTCTGTTCGTTCTCGGTAATGTAGTCCAGCTTGACCCCTGGGCTCAACAATAACCGCGCCAAACCTGTCTTCGGATCCTTCTCAAACAAATCCTGAGTTCCGTCCTTCTGCGGCTCGTCCTGCCCAGCCTGCGTCCACTCCTCCTTCAGCTTCTCCGCCAGCAACGGCTCCCAACAACCCCAAAGCCACGCCTCCGCCACCGCATACCCATGCTCTTCGACCACGCCCGCAACATAGGCCTCGAATACGTCGCCGAGGATCTTCTCCGTGCCCTTCGTCCCCCAGTCCTCTAGGCTACCGGCGATCCGGAGCCGCTGGTCGAGGCCATATTTGCGCGAGAAGGTGGCCAGCGTCTCGTTCTTCACGCAGAGCTCGCGGATGGAGGATTTGCGGTTGACTTTGATGCGGGGTCGTAGGTGCACGAGGCGCGTTGCTGCAAGCTCGATGTAGACATCGCCGAGGAACTCGAGCGGTTCGTAGGTGTGGGTGTCGGTTCCGAGCGGTCGGATGGCGTCAAATGATGAATGCGTGAAGATGGGGCCTAGAAGTACTTCGGATTTGATGATCGGTAAGGGCGGTAGACGGGTTTTATTTGTTGCGCTAGCTTTTGGGAGGTTGGGGGTGGAAGGTTTGGAGATGCCTTGCGGATGCACGTCGGGCTGCTCTTGTTTTTGGCCTTCCTTCGGACTAGCAAGAGCGCTTGAACTTGATATCTTCTCCTTTAAATCCTTTGCGCTTTGAAAGATAGACTCGGACACATCTTTGCGCTCAAGGACCGTGTCCAACAATTTCTGTAGTTCTGCGGCTGGGAAAGCTCCGTCGAGGTCCCCGTTGCCCTTGGGCTTTTTGCTCGCTTGAGGGTGAGAGCTTACTGGATCATCTAATTTGCGCTTACGGTCCATCGTGAGGTTGAGTAGGCAAGGTGTCAAGTCGCGCAATGATGATGGGAAGATGCGCTGGTCGTCGTGAAATAATATGGTATGTTCGAACCCCTGCCTGTTGGCCAACCAGCCGCTTGGCCGGTATCACCATTTTCACCACTATCACCAAACGTGTAATATCTCAACCACCATATCATATTGCGATGTCAAATTCAGAGGAGATACTCTTACAGGCTATTAATGCCTTGCAGACCGGTCAATGTAAATCACAAAACGAAGCTGCGGCCCTATTCAACGTCAATCGAGCTACGCTTCAAAACCGCCTCAAGGGCATGCAATCGCGCTCTACAGCTCAACAATCGAACCAACGCCTTACACCGATACAGGAGAAGTTTTTAGTCGACTGGATACTTGAAAATGGCTCTCAAGGATTCCCCCCTACCCACGCACGTCTTCGAGAAATGGCAGCACGAGTTCTAGAGCTTCAAGGAGATTCCACGCCCCTTGGAAAGAATTGGGTACCGCGATTTCTACATCGAAATCCACGCGTTGCGACGTGTGTTGGACATAGTCTAGATGTCGTCTGACGTCGGGCTGCAAAATAAGATACAATAAATGGGCTTTACGCGTATTTCCACCAAGTTCAGACATAGTACGACGTCCACCCTTTCAATACATGGAATATGGATGAAGCAGGTGTTGGAATGCAAATATATGCTAATACTACTGTCATCGCAGACTCGCAGAAGTTGACAGCTTATATCATGAGTCCTGAGAACCGGGAATGGTCCTCTATCCTAGAATCAGTCTCTGCAACTGGTTGCTATCTCAAACCAACAGTTATCCAGAAAGGCGCGTCTCTACAAGCTGCTTGGTTCCCCGAACAACCCCCAGACTTCCATTATGCGGTGTCACCAAACGTATGGACCTTCAGATAAACACGCGTTGGTATGGCTTCGTACGGTTTTCATCCCTGAAACTACTGCAGAGCGACGGTACAGGATCCTACTCAGGGACGAGCCCGGATGCCACGCAACCATCGATTTCCTATAAGAATGCAGGATAAACGGCGTGACTGTAGTCTACATACCTGCGCATACCTACCATGTCCTTCACTCTCTCGATCTCGCCTGTTTTTCACCTCTGAAATGCTTCTACAAGACCCTCCGACAAAGCGCATATATCGACGAGGCACTACGAAGGTTCATTGTCCTCTATGCAGAGGCGCGTCGGGCATGCCTAATCGAGCGTACAATCAGATCAGGATGGAAGGTTGCAGGTCTTATACCGTGGGACCCGTCAAAAAGCCTCAATATCCAGTTCGTGATACTGCCTACGCCTACTGAAACCGCATCCTCAATTCCACCACCAAACACGCCTCCGCGCACCCCATTACTAGTCCCTCCCAGTCTTCCAGATGACGCTCTACAAACCCAAATAAATACAAAGTGCATTGCGCGTTCTTAACAAGAATACACGCGTGGCGAAAGGGACCAAGTCGTACATAGGGAAGGAGGCAAAGCAATCGGAGTGCTATAGGCGCGTCAGGCTGCGTCAGATCTGAAAATCCCTAGTCTCCAGGCCCGCCTAGATGCCGCTACAACCCCAAAATGCAAGAAGAAGGTTCAGATAGATCTTAATGTTAAGCTCGCACACATTCAAGAGATCAAACTAGTGCACGAGACGGTACAGCTTCTAGAGGCAAATACCCTACTAGAACAGACTGTTCCCGTGGCTAAAACCATATCAGACGCTCCCCAAGACGTTGTACAATATTCCTATTGTTTGAATTTTCAATATAATTACGTAGTGGTAGAGATATTACGGGTTTCATGATGGCGGTTAAGATGGTGATGCTGGCCAAGTAAGTGGTTGGCCAACAGGCAGGGATTCGAACTTACGCCCGAGGCGCGGATCTGCCAGCTAATTATTCAAATTGTGGTTTGACGACCGGTATCACCTCGCCATAGGCCAAACCTCACTTCTTGCAAAGGCTACAAACCTCCGTAAATCTCTCATTAATCATCGCCCCTCTTAAGGATCACGACAGCCTATGCGACATGCTAGCACTCTCACTTGCCTATGCCGCAAAAAGAGAGTCTCTGGTGGTGATACGCTGCGGGTTTGACTCTTGATCCATGCTCCAGTCTGTGTTGAAGCGCCCGTGGCTTCAAATGACGGCCAACTCAGCACAACATCTACTCTACTATTTTCGCCGTCAAGCAACCTCTTATCAACTTTGGCCAACATCGTATGAGCTTTTGCCAATTTCATCTGGACATCAGGAGACACCAGTTACAACGAAACAAAGACACCAATCCAGAAATGCCATCATGGTCCTCCTGGTGGCCCTCCAGTTGTTGATCGGTGGTATAAGTAGTGGCTGGATCCGCACAACGTCATACCCCGTGGGTAAGTTAATCGCTCAAAAATAAATGGTGCTCGACTGATCAAGATATTAGCAAACTATCCAACCCTTAGCGATGCCACTATTGAACGCTCACTGCTGGCCTTACAAGCAACACATTCACCAGCGTCGATCTTGTCAAAGTACGTATCATCCCGCAAGCAGAGTGCTATCTATTCCGTTTTCTAGCATTTTATTCCAGGCACTCTTCGTAGAATAGTATCCGCAAACAATAATTCATTTCCATCCCTATTTCATCGTTGATACAATCGCAAACCTGTCTTTGTGGTAACGAGCTTTCGAATGTTTGCTAATGACCGGAGCTAGGCGTACCTCTCCCGGATAGCAGAGGTCAATAGTACATTTCATGCTGTAACTGAGGTGAACCCTAATGCTCTGGATATTGCGGCCATGTTGGATGATGAGCGCTCGGCAGGATCTATTCGTGGGTAAGGATGATGGCGCATACATACTAATCGGCCGGCTAATGAGGGCAGGCCGCTTCATGGAATCCCGATCCTGATCAAGAACAATATTGCCACCTACGACATGATGGGCGCAACTGGTGAATCTCTACCTACCGGCATGTCATGCTCGCTGACTTGTTTTCTAGCTGGTTCGTGGGCTCTTGCGGGAGCGAAAGTGCCCATGGATGCCACCGTTGCGCGTAAGCTTCGGGCGGCGGGTGCAATCATTATCGGAAAGACGAGTATTACTCAGTGGGCGAACTTTCGATCCTTGAACGCAAGTAATGGCTGGTCAGCTCTTGGAAGTCAGGTCTACGGACCGTATTTCCCCGAAAGCAGATCCGTGGGGCAGTTCTAGTGGAAGCGGAGTAGTCTCTGCGTACGTGAGCGGTTTTTGACTTTGGGGAGTGATTCTGACTTCTCTGCAGACTCGGCCTCGCTCTGGCCTCATTAGGTACCAAAACTGATGGTTCCATCACAGGGCCTGCTTCGTTCAATAACGTGGTGGGCATCAAGCCAAGTACGTCTGTGTATCATTGAAGTCGGTTTCACGAGTTAGACTGATATGGCTTCAGCTGTTGGACTGACATCTAGGCATCTGGTCATCCCAATCAGTGAGCATCAAGACACTGTCGGACCTCTGGCGAAAACGGTCAAAGATGCTGCACATATTCTGCAAGCAATCGCTGGTGCAGACCCACATGATAACTGTACGGCCGCAGTGCCCCATTCCACAATTCCCGATTAGATTACGGCGTGCAAGCTCTCAGCACTTTCAGGGTCCAAGTTAGGTGTTCCTCGAGATGTGATATCCATGCATTCGGACAACACCACTGGGCCGATTATTGAAGCGTTTGAACAAGCATTGGAAATCCTAAGTTCCGCAGGCGCTAATATTGTTGATACCACTTTTCCCGCAGCTATGGAATTTCAAAACTCAAAGTTGCCATTACGCATTCTCAGTGCCGATTTTGTCGTCAATTTGCAACACTATCTCGATTGGTTCGCATTCAACCCAAACAACATTACATCGTTGGCGGTCCTACGCGAGTTTACGCATCATTCCCTCTTGTGGACTACCCGACGCGCGATACCGGCATTTGGGATGCAGCCCTACAAGATTGGAACAACACGGATTCTCGCTTCTGGCCTACTTACCAACAAGTCGTATATTATGGAGCCAAAGGAGGTTTACTTGGTGCCATTGACCGCGATGATCTAGATGCGGTGGTTCTTCCAGCGAACTTCGCGTCCAGCTATGCGGCGACTGTTGGGGCGCCAATCGTTACTGTCCCCCTCGGGTCCTATCCGGCTAGTGTGTCTACAGTGAGGAACTCATGGGGCTTACTCGATGTCGCTCCGAATATACCGTATGTGATCGCCATTTTCTCGATTTGGAAATCTCTAACTCATATCTCATATAGGTTTGGAATTAGTTTCCTCGGATCGAAATTCACGGAGAAACTCATTGGAATTGCATATGCTTTTGAACATAAAGCGAAGGTTAGGGATACGGTCAAGCCGTATCTTGTGCCGAAATCTGAACTGGTAGATCTGCTCCAAACCTAGGGATCCAGGGCATTATAGCTTTGGACAGCGATAGTGCACCTCCTAGTATGAAGGGTAATAACGGCAACGATACACAAGTATTTGCATGCATGCCCGGCCCCGTTCCAGAATGGGAAATGGGTGATGGAGAAGTGACTGGCTCCATTTCCAGAAATGGACGAGAAGGTTACTTATGTTTGGCGAGTGTAGCGACTAACCTCGATGCATTTAAACTGTTCAGATCTCTATTAACCTCCCTCCCTGTGTGCCAGACACCCCTGCGTGCCGAGCAAAACCATTCGTACTTTAACTTCAGAGCAAGCCAGACTTTGCACATTTATTGATATCTCTATAATTCCGTCTTAATATTGCACTGTAGCCATTCCTTAATATTCGAGACGCTCCTACCACGAAAATTACGTTAACATGGCCGCGTTCGAGCGTGATTTCCGGAGAGTCTACCTTCATAGTATGTAAGAACATCTTCACTACAGCACCATCATCGGGCTCATTTTACATTTAAAACTTATTAAAGGCCTATATCTGGTTTTAAGAGTCTAACTACCAAGTTATAAATCATTATCGACGACGTGACTGGTGTAGCTTACAAATTTACCAAAGTTCGTTACGCTGGTCAGTACTTCCTACCAGAACAATGAACAAGCCTGGCTAATGCGGAATGATTATGCATGTACGATATGTAACTTATATTAATGTATTATAACTTAAGTAATATGCAGTATTGCCCACGCCAAGGTTATGGCTGTTCCCACCTGCGGCTGCCGCAGCCTAACTATTCCTAGCGAACATAGAATTCCCTACGTGCCGAAACAAGAACGCCGACGCTAACTTATTTGTCCTTCGATAAAATGCCTCTTAGCCGCCTCACGAGATGTCCTCTTTTCCCAGTGCTGTTCAACTTCAGTCCTTGGTCTGTTAGTAGCGGATCCGAATCTATAATGGGTGCGCTGCTCTTGTCTGATATCGCTGGTGGAACCTCTGGTGCTTGGTTGAACTGACGTTCGTCAGTATCCTCGGCTGCAGGATCTTCAACAGAAGATACGGACGCCTGCCCTGTTTCAGGCTTCTTTAGCATATCATTATAGAAGGAAGCCAGCATCCTCTCCGATACAATTCGCGAAGGGTGATCTTCCGCCATAATTTTCCGCTTTAAAGCAACAACACTCTCTAGCAGCTTGACCGCCTCCTTGACCTGTCCGTTTGCTTCATATGCTCCGGCGAGCGCATGCTGCGACGCCAGTCGTGAGGGATGGTCTTCTGCGAG